TTTTCCTAGGGGACACAGCTGCTCCTTACACCACTAATAAAACTATTTGGCATAATGATAACAGCCTTGATACTGCTATACCAAGGACATACTTATCTATGGGGAGCTAGGAACCGGTGCCTTGTAGCTAGCTAATTTTGAGCCACCACGCCACTGCTTTACATTCTACTAGGTCCCAAAGTAATAGCTAGCGTTGGCTCCTATAAGTGAAAGATTTTTGAGGCTAGAATCGCCACTGAACAGTATCTAGAAAAACTTACAAAGATGCTGTTTATCGTTGCATGCTAGTTTTCTTGTTTGCTCTTGTTTCATTTTTATGTAATAAAAATTTTCATTCTTTTTGTAATCTTATAAAAAATTACTCGTAAATTTACATGCAAGACTTGGCGTGTAAACTGGACAAAAAATGACATGGTCCCCAAAAGTCCCATGGAATTAGCAACGTACAAATTTTCTTATAAAAGTTTTCAAGCATATGCAAGGTGTTGTACAAATAATGCATATTGGAAAACAATGAGGTGAATTTTCACTCAAAAACCGTAGCCTTGTTCCCAAAGCTATTCGCCTTCTCATTTTCTTCATATGAACGATTTGCAAAACAGAAAATTAAGCCATCCTTAGAGTTGGTAATCTAAATACAAAACATTTGACTCAAATAAAGTTAAGTATATTTTGATTCCAGAGAAGCTGTTGAAGGCTTTGGTATTCTAATGCATCTCTACCACCTCGACGATGATGACATGAAATTAGGCTTCCTATTAAGCTTACATATATCCTGCCAAAACTGCTGAAAAATCGCATGTACCAGGGAGAGAGACAATTCACTCCCTCCTCCCAATTAAATGTTGGTTTTAGAGTTTACTTCATAACTTTCTTGCAGGAATTAACTGGCCAATACCGATCTCTTAACATGAAGTAAGACAGAAATGTTCGGAAGAGAATTGTCGAATTATCATGAAGTAAACTAATCTTCGGAAAAGTTGTCGAACAATTAAATTATCATATCATGTTCCTCTGGGCAAATATTTTTCCTCCTTTTAATTCTGGTGTTTGGAAATTAGTATCAATCGATTTGATTAGAAGGAGGCCAAATGTTTGTTCCAGACCCAGCCCTAAAATTTGTGCTGGGAAGTGGATTGCATCTTGCTTTGCATGCCTGTGATCGCATAAATGACTAAAAGTTGAACGTTTCTAAACTTTTCTGCGACAAAGCCGACAATTTTTTCGACAAAATCTTTTCGCGCGACAGCTTTTCGCTCAATGGAAAAGTCTTTAAGAGAAATTTCCTTCAGGTTTATAGTTTGTTTTTTCGATTTTGTTATATTTCAAAAGGCTTAAAAAGTGACAACATAGGAACCACGTCAGCAAGACAAATTATCATGTTGGTGCGTGCGACATTGCACAAAGAATATGCAAATTTAATAGATAAACGTAGATAATGAACTGCATACACGTCAAAAAGATAAGGGAATTTTCAAAAGAGGAATTAATGGGCTAAAAATAAATCACGAGAGGGCTATTTTTACTTCGAAGAATGGTGACTTTCCTGAATGAAAATTTCTTAATGGTGCATGATTGATTTAATTCAAGAAAAGAATAAACTGGCAAAGTCGATTAAGATGATGCAATTTTGGCTTTATACGTTTTGACGTCACCCCTGCTTTCAAGTGTAGGTTGCCCTGGAAAATGACAAAATGGTGCTTAATTCACTGCTTGAGACATACATTGTTTTCACATTTTCTTCTTCAATACTGTTCTTAAAAATTGACGTCATGAAATCTATTTGAGAATTTTTCAGTTTGGACCACCTAATATAAAATGTCTTAAAAGAATGAATGGCATTATGGATAACAACTAAATGGCAAAGTCAGTTAAATGTGTTAGCGACTTGGATGAGATAGGGATTTCACATGAGCACCTGGTCTTTCCCATCCAATCAGTATTTGTTCTTGGCACTATGATTTACGGAACCGTCCGATAAAGTGGTACTCCAATGCAAAACATTACGTATTTTATGTGGCCAAAAGTTAGAGAATTCTCAGAATTTATTCTCATGACGTCACATTTAGGAACTCCACATATGTACTCCATATATGTTGTCGAAGGTCTTTGTCACTATTTCAGAGTTTAAAGAAAGTTGTAAGCTCTACTTCTTCAGACATTGATCATCAAAATTTTATTCGACTCATCACAGCTTCCTTGAAGTACAGCATCTCAATACAAAGTTTCACATAAACAAAAATACACTTTTTCTATGCTGGCTATTTTGATATTCCTTTCTTCAAATTCGATCCTCCAGGGCTGCTTGAAAGGTTGTTAGGTAAAGAAATATTGGCAGGAAATCATTTCAACAGATGCTAAGTATCTTGAATCGTCCATGTATGTAAAATCTAATGATCAATATTTGCCAGGATACAAATTTCGTCACTGTAAACGAGTCAGTCCCGTAAGACAAAGCTTGGTTTTTTCGTTCTCGTACATTTTGCATTTAATTCAAATATTTGCTTTCATTTTGCTCATATTTATATGCTTTCATTCTGCTCATATTATTTGCTTTCATTTCATTCATATTTGCCATTCATTTGCTCCATACGTCACTGTTGCTATTATTCATTCGATATTGTTAATACAAATTGAAAAGTTTGAGTTAATATTCAGCTTCTCGGCTAAATGGTCTTGTTTATTAATTAGTGTATTCACTTTAAACCTAGTCTAACGCAAGCAAAAAACGTGTGTGGTAAAAAGATGAATGAATCTTAAAGGTTTTGTCGTCATGTTGGCTTTCAGAATCCTCTTATGATGGCTTAAAATTGCTATAGTAATTACTTATTTCGCTACTGATGAGAATTAGATTCTTTTACCAAAATGCTCAAGGTCGTTCGTGCCTTTGTCTGTTTCAGAGATACCTCTTCGGCGAGTGGTTCCTAAACATCTCGTCTATAGTGGCACAATAACTTCTCTGCGTTGCGCAGGGCTAAGGGAGCCTAATTATAGATCAGGGTAAATCTTTGTACCTGCCACTGATGAGCTGTGTATAGGAGAACCAGTTTTGCCGTCTGCTGGCAAGAAAAGAGTGTCAAATTGGATGGGGCAGATAATCCGATAGTTTCAAGAAAATTTTGTAGATAAGGTCTTGGAAGATTGTCGCTGTTAGGCCTGTAAAACCAATTATAGAGAGATACAGAATGTCAAGATATTAACTTTGGAAGATAAGGCATGGAAACGAAAAGTAGCCTTTCAGAGAGAATGGGATATGATACTCCAGGGGGAGTTTTCCCAAGTTTAAGCCTTCCCTTGGCACCCAACAGTATTACGCTCTTTTTCTTTCAGTTCCCTTCCTTACTTTCGCTTTTTTGCCAAATTTCTACTTGTTTTGGCAACTGGCTTTCTTTATTTGGTCTTAATATTCTCACAATAACAGTTTGAACTTGTTTTGCTTTGAAGAGGAAGCAAGGATCACAAGATCATTTCTAGGCAAAATAATACGGAAATCACCTTTTTGATAGTCAAATTTTCATCGCATTACATCGCAAAACAATTATATATAAATAACAAAATATTTTTCTGACAATGGGTTTGAAAGGCCGCTTCCAACTGCCTCCAATAAAGGGGACGTGGAGATAGGAGAATGGAAGATGATTGCTATCCAATAAATCTTCTTTGGGTAGCTTGTTCTTTTAGACAATCGAAGAGGGATCTGAATTGTCTTTTATGTTAAAGATGCTTTTCTGTTTCGCAAAATTGAATAGAATACGAAAGCGAGGTAAAATAAACAATCCATTTTTACTGTGAACCAAAGGGCCTTCCTGAGCGGAAAATCTGTCTGTAGGATGGTAGTCGTATCTTCAATATCAGAGGGATAAAATGACGGAAAGTGAGAGCTAGTTGTTACTTTGAGAAACCAATATTCCAACTAAAGAGAAGCAAGGTTAAAAATTTAGAAATCCTTTTCCCACTAATAGAGCAATAGGTGCTAAGCATTGCAACATTTTCCTACCTTTCTTTCATCGTAATAGGAGGACTGATGATTTTGAATTTTTCAAGACCCCCTTTTCTTTTTGTTCATCTTATTCCAAAGACAAACAATTGTTGATTTTCTTTCAAATATGTTGTTTTTTAAATTTGAATCAATTGATTTTTCTTTTTTAATAAAATGCTCACTTTCGTTTTCCTATATATAACCTACTTCTATATCAAAAAAATGAATGCAGTGCTTGACTGAAATGATGCACAAGCAAAAGACAAATCATGTTTCAATCACACAATGATCGTCAAAATCATCTCAATCTGATGTCAATCATAATCTGGAGAAAAAAGTTTCTTTAATGCCAAAACGTCGCTTTTTTTTCTCAAAAGCTAGTTTGATGTTCAAGCTAAGCAAAGATTTTTTAAGGAACACTCAAGGCTAAAGAAACTAGCATTGAGCAGCCCTAAGCTTTCCTTTATAAAAAATGCGTTGATACGCCAGTGAAAGGCGAATGACATAACTGAATGGATTTCTTAGTATATGAACTCAAAAGAACATCAAGAAATAAAAACTGCATGTAACATATAATGATGAAAAGTACGCTGGTTCATACATTTCACAGGCTATATGCCAATGAGCCTGGATATCGTTGCGATAGTTATGATCATGATTTTTTTGTCAAAGGCAATGCAAGCAGGTTTCCCAATAACAAAAGCTGAGTAAACAGTCTCGATAGAAGATGAAAAATTATTTGATCATTCTTCTGGAACATCATTGCTCATTCTCTAACACTATTTGTTTATGTCAGAACTTTGTAGATTTGCTTGAACACTGCAAAATTAGCTTATTTTCAAGTTAAGTTTTCATTCTCTTATCTGGCCGACGAGATAAAACATTAAAAACTTTCTTAAAGAAGCAAGGACATCAAGGTGTGTCCTGGCCGTCGTACTTGGAGATATTTGGTTTTCATTGATCTCCACTTGCTTCACACTATTTTTAACGCTTTTTTTATTCATAATTAGATAAAGTCAAACTCAAGGAGAAGTGGCGTGCTTTACCTTTTCTTACTTAGGTAGAATTCTCGTTGTATGCTGCAATTTTTTGTTAAATCCCAAGACCCAGCCCTCAAAACTGCTTAGAATATTTGAAATAACAGAACTGAAAACTTTTAATGTTTTGTTTTGCATGTATGGACCGGGGTGTCGTCCTAAAAAGTCAGGCAAACTTTAGAAGCCACACCATCATTCAAGCTATTCACCGACTGAAAAAGACTGATAGAAAATTGCTCATTGAAGATCTATATTATGATAAAGGGTTTTCGACACAAAATTTGTCAAGCAAATTATGTGCTCTGTTATTAAGAGAGAGAGAGAGGGGGAGGGGGCTCAGTTGAGGTCACCTTAACAAAGATTCCAGAAAGGTTGAAAAAGGCTGTTTCTGGGAGCCTGGGTGTAACAGTAAAGATATCATTTTCTTGCTTAGTTTAGAGCAGTGTCACTGAGAGGTTTTGGAGGTTCTGTGGCAAGAAAGAACAGACAAGGGTCTTTGCAAGCGAAGCGACCAGACACAGTTTTTTGATCATGCTCTTTAGATTAGCTAAGAATACCTTCCAAAATTTTTTTGCAGTCATTTTCTTGCAATCATTTAAAACATTATACAATTTGGTGTTTCTAAAAGCAGATCCCATGGAAAAATGTTTTAGATCATGGCCCCAGAGGGTCACCCCTCTCCCACTCCATTTGATCATTTCGTTTCAAGGGCACTTTTTGCGAGGGACGATTCACTCTTTGCTCTTGCAAATAGCGTACGAGATCTCCACCAAAATAAAAGGATTCCCAGAGATTTTCAGATAAAATAGTGGGATTTCAAAAGTGTACGGGATTTTCATGGAGTGATTTGTTTTCGACTTTTTGGTTTTGCAGTTGGCAAAAGAAGGGCAACTCAGGAAGCTGCAAAGGGGCATTTCACGGGGGCACATGCCCCCTGTGCCCCTACGTCTTTAGATCTAATCATAAGGGGGAAAGAGAGTCACTGTGGATTTTCCCAATAAAACGGATTGTACATAATCTTGTTTATACCCACGTTGAACTGCTGTCACACAATTTCTTGCGTGGTTAGTTTTCTTGGTCCTACCTGCTGTACGTGTTTTCTTGTTTTCAACCAGCAAGGCCAAAGGTGTTGAGTTCAGCCCCGTTTTCAAAGGTGCTTGCTATTTGATAAACTGACGGCAATTTCTCAGGGGAGGTCAAAAGCTGAATTTTCATGTCTTTTTTGTCTTTTAAGATGATTTTTCAATGCAGTTTTGCACTTCATTTTTGGGTAAAACTTTGTTATCAGCACACTTTGTTCCTAGGGAAAGACTTCTGTCGTTTTATGAATTTTACTTGCAGTTATCGAATATTTGCTTCAAGGCTCAAATGCAATATGCTATTTGTCATCAAAAGCTTAGCAAAAAATAGAAAATTATCTTGTTGGCAGACTCTCGCTGTGATAATGATTTTAGTGAAAGACAAGCAAATTTGTTATCGGCGTGGAAAAATAGGCTTCGAACTTCACTCAGGTGGCAATCTTTTGGTTGCCCATCTTATTTTTCATACAAATACACAGAGCTTAGGAAACCATAGCTAGATAAACAAAAGTTTGTGTCGAGGCCATGCGGTAGGGAATATGCTTCCGCGATCAAAGAGTAGTTTGTTCTTGAGGAAACACTGCCCAGATATCGTTCGTTCTAAAAGGTATGTGATCAGCATTGCATCGAAAAGAGAAACACCTTTTTGGCAACTGTTTCTCAGTGGCACATAGCTATTCTCATAGGTGTTTCTTTTCCTTTGATGTATCTTATAAATCTGCCATTTATGCCTTGGTTTGTACTCATTTATCGCTTCTGGCTTGTACAAACCTGTCACAACAATGTTACTGTACAAGGAAATTGTAAACCAACCTTCTAGGCCTAGAGTTGTTGTTTATTTTGATCACGGAGTAAGCAAAACAATTTTTTACATCTAACGAGTTACGTTCTTATGATCTTTTTTGTTTGTTTTTGACGTTTATCGTGTCAAGTTTCTTATTTATTTTTGTCGAAACATCAAAATGTTTAAACCCATGGTTGTTTAAAATTTGATGGTGTTTGTTATCCACGTTTGTGAGATGTAATGTAAGTTGCGAATAAGGATCTCTCAGGGACGCTGCAACACATTTTTGAAGAGGGGGGGTTGGGGTCTCTGGCTAACTCTTATCTTTGATGCCATTACCTTGATATCATACTTCGGAAAAGGCGGGAGGGGGTGTGTTGTGCAAAAGTTTATAAAGAGTTTAGTATAAGTTTTTTTCAAGTAAAGGTCATGCATGTCTTCCCTTACAATTTGGAACATGTTGAAACTTTTTAGTAAGTGCTTACGAATACAACCAATAGCCCTTATTTTCCAAATTCCCTAAATAGAGAATGTTTTGTTGTTAAATTTTTTTATTTGTTACTACCTAGCTTCCGAAGGTAGTTTTAAGGAGAATGAGAACCTGTGCTAATCGACCAGTGTCCTGATCCTTTCTAATCAATACGAACACACCTAGTGATTCCTATGCCTGAAAGAACAGAGAGCTGGCGACTCTCCCACTCTAAATGCAAGTTTGGTCATGTCTTATCATGTCACCGCAACTCAGCGACTGAGCCATCTAAAATTGGATGGGCTTGTCCTCGAGAAATGTTTTTGGACAAAAACATTTAAGGGCTTGACAATACCCTCTATCTAGTACACCTCAATACCATAACAGACAATAATAACATGGACAATATTACAACCCATCACGTGGTTAAAATCTTACTCAAAGCTCAAGCGTTTATCTTTACCATATTGTCAACAAGTATGTGTTGTTCCTTTATTTTTTATCCACCTTTAAGCTACATTTCAATGTCGATGGAAGGCTGCGCAACAACTTCTGCGTGGTAAAATTTGTGTCTGTAGGCTGTTGCTAATCGAGTAGATTCAAATCTTTTGCTACCTCTATCAAAAGCATCTTGTTATCAGCAATGAGTCTTTTCTTTTTTAAATCTTTTAAAAAAGGGTTGGACATTTTCATAGGGTGATGAAGTTTTCCTGTATGAAGGGAGCCAATATCGAAGACAAGATTCTAATCTCCTTGACTTGTATAAATTCTTTCCATAACTGCAAACAATTTGAATGATACCACAGGCTTTTCTGACAGAACATTTCAGCTTCTTTTTTGACAGGCGCTTTTAACTTTTCTTTTGGTACTACTGTACTGTACTGTATTGTATTGTATTGTATTGTATTGTATTGTATTGTATTGTATTGTATTGTATTGTATTGTATTGTATTGTATTGTATTGTATTGTATAGTATAGATTATTTAATGTTTTTACAATAGTGAAAATACACTAATATATAGTTTTTTGAATAATCATTTTTAAAACCATTGTTCTTTAATACCTATGATTACGTTTTGGGCCATCCTTTTTATTTAATTTGTTTTTGTCTATTGATATAGTTACTTTCAAAAGCTTAATCACAAAGAAGAATAAGATTATTGTTTATTTAAAAGACATTACTTCATAAAGTTTTTGTTTTCAACTTTACTAGATGCACTTTACTAGTTGCACTGGTTAATTGGACTGAGCTATTGAAATAAGTATCTAGATAGAATGTATATTATATGTTCATTTTATACATATGCTTGTATATACATTAATTCATAGTTTTGCATATTATAAAAGAAGTTTACTGTAGAACTACGCAAATGAAAACTGGGGGTGGGTTGTTACACCAGACCTTTGACACGCCCCTCGACATAATCTGGTTCTTAGCACATTGCATTTTTTGCGAATTAAATTGCCTTCTAAAAATTAAAAGAGTGACAATTTTATATCTTAAATCCTGATGTTTATTTTTAATGCTATTACTAAATTCGTTTCAAACGTTTTTGTGAGATATTCGTTCTGGAGGCCTCAAAGATTTGAACATTTAAAATTCGTTGCTCTTGATAGAGCTCTGCTAGCTGCAGTCAAAAGAAAGTATTCAAAGTTGCATTTTAAGCATTTTGACACGCGCAGCGCAGTTTACAGACCATTTCAATTTCTTTTCAAAAGAATTAACAAGTATAGTACAGGGCGGTACATGGGTGTGTGAAAAAACTCTTGCTTGAAAAACACAGGGCTATATCAGAAGAGCAGTCTTCTTAAACTGAAGGAGTAATTTGAAACAAATAGGCCAGAGAACAGCTGATTGTTAATTAAAGCAGGACAATCTTCTAGATCTAAAATGGTACGTTGCCTCCTCTCTCTTCTCTCTTCCCCTTAGGCTTGAGTGTTTATCCCAAGGAATACAGTGAAAGATTATACATACTCATGGGTCTTAATTAGTAAAACCCAAAAAATGCATGAAGTACAGGCCTCTCTTTCTAGGAACCTGAGATAGGTACAATAGTCTCCAATGTTATTGCCCACAGACTGCATATAAGGCCAGCACCAAGCTTGCCTTCGTACGAAACACTGTTCCTATGTTTGTTTGTGCTGGTATCAAAAGTCCGTCATCCGTTTTGCCATGCGGGTTGGAAGCTAATTCCTGATTTGACTTTCACGTACGTGCTTGACCACGACTCCAAGGTAACAGTTCTATAACAAGGTTGTACTGAGCCCACTCCTACGCCGTTGAAGAGTCTTTCGTAAGAAGATTAAGGTAACCCCGAGCAAGGAAACGAGTGATTTAGAGTAATGTTGTTCTTTGGCTTTCAAATCTGCTTCATCATCCTACACGGGTAATCTATTGGTTGTAAAGTTGTGGTAATGAAGTATACTGAAGTGACGAGGTTAAGGATGTACTAAAGACAGCGTAGTTAGTTGTTTGCTCTAGGTTCAAGTCTCGTGGCGCACAGGAATCAAACTTGATATCCAGATTAGGGTTGTAATTGAGTATTTTTATCACATAAGGGTTGCCTAAAGCATTGTTTGCGTCATATTTTTGTGTGATTTTTTAAAAGGACTCTTCATCAACCGGGTGCTCTGCTAACTTTGATAATGTGGCCTATGTGGATTCGTTGTTCTTGAGGGACACAAAATAAGTGTATAAAAACTTGAGTCTGGAAGTATTGTTATCTATTCATGGTATGTATTAGCTCAGCGATAAAGACCCAACATTTCTGGATATTTCCTGGACAAAGACCCTTTTCCTTTATTATTTCCTAGTCGTCAATATTCGTTTATTTGTTATTCTATTCATCATAGTCAACTTCCAAGACATGTTATAGTTTCTGTTCCACAATGATCAACACTTGGCCTTGATCCTAGAAGACAACGTTATCTTCTTTTGTATTCTCTTCACTTGAGCATCTATGACTTGAGAAAGCCTTTTGCAAAGGACTTTTTTGACTGCTTTCGATTTTTAACATTTAGAAACTGTATTTCTGTTAACAGTTTCGCTGACGAGTCATTACTTAAAGTGATATATTTTTGCATGCTTTTTTTCGTTGTAGTAGGTTTCAATGTATTTCTGCAGGCGTTGTATTCGTGTGTTTCTTTCAATATTGTAGTAGATTTCAAAGTATTTTCGGGTGATTATAGTCTTTGTTAAAAAGAATAAGAATTGTTAAATTCTTTGTTTGGTAATAAAGAAAATGATTTTCTGTTTTCGACAGTATCAAAATGTCGCTGCGCCAGGAGGGGCTATTTCCCCACACATTGTACATTAAAAAAATGTTTATTTGTTTGAAATGAGTAAGACATTTACTCTCCACCAATAAACCATAACTGCCTTCCATCTTGTTTGAACACGAACTGAATTGCCTTCCGAGTTTCTCAAAACTTGAGCTAAACCTGGTCACTGATTAAAATTTTTTTTTTACAAACTATCGTCTTTTGATCCTTTTGTTGGATTATAACTTCGAACTAAATATTTTACCCATCACAATTATCTGGTCTTGATGAATGTTACACATGACTAGAAATTATACATTGAAAGAAGATTGATCGAGAAGAGAAATGTAATTTAGATAACCATGAATATCGGTTAACAAGCCTAAATAGCATGTTATGATATTAATTCTGTTTCACTGATAATCTCAACAAATACAAAGCCAGCATGAAGCCAGGGGTGTTCGGAAGGTGTTTAAAAGAGGCTAGTTGCCTTAGTATCTTGAGCAATTTAGTACTTCAAGTGACTCTGTTCTTTAAGTGATTCAGTAACTCGTTGCCACAATATTTTAATAGATTTCCTTTATTTGTAAGTATGTAAGTAACACACTTTAATCTTTCTTACAGCTCGACAAATTTGAACGCTGATATAATACCCCGTTCAGCAAGGTCGCCGACGCCCGATGAACTTAGTCCCAATGTGGCTAGAAACTTCATCAGAGAAGGTGCAGTTTGCCTGTCCACGGTAAGGCAACATACAGTTCCTAAATACTTATACTACCTCGTATCTTTCTTTTGTCTATCTGAAGCATATCAAGCTTTGTTAAGGAGTGCCCCTTTCCGTCACGCCCTTGCACGCATGAGCTTATTAGGCCTTCTATGTCCTTCTTGTATTTTAAAGTTTAGTTCAAAAGCGCATGATTTTTAATAAAGCCTGTGTACCACAAAGTTAGTTGTTGGGTCCCTTGCTTTTTAACGCAGCATAAGCCATTTAAAAGAAGGCATTTGAACGATTGTAATCGAAGTTAATTTATTGGGCGACGTTGAGAAAGTAATCATTGTTTTGAGCAATGGTAATAATGATTCAGACAAGGTCTGTAAGTGGTCTTTATATGTTTATATTCAAATCCCAAATTCACTTATTGCCAAAAACATTTATATGAAGAATACATGTTTAGTAGAAAATTGATGAAAATAGTTTCTAAGCTATCCCTCATTTTTTATCACATGCTCTTTGCCTTCTCTGTGTTTTCATACTGTTGCTTTAACAACTATTATTTCTTCTAGGGCGTCTCCTCTTTGAACCGTTACATGTTTTTATTCAGTGATCTGCTGCTAATAGCAAAACCAAAGTAAGTCTTATGTTTATTGTAAGTATTTGCCTATTTCTATTTATTACGTCATCGGGTAACTGAACTCATATACATCTACCAAAGATTGTCTTCAATGTTACGTACTTGTAAGATACGTGTTCAAATTTTAAAAGTACAAAGTTTTGAAATCTTTAGCAAAACATAAAATGAGTTCTGCAAGTGCTAGAGATTTAATATTTTGCTCCAATGATCAGAAGTTTGACGTAGATTCGAGATAGGACAACGTAGAAAAATAAACTTAATTTTTACCTATTTCCACCTCTGGGGCCAGTGTGGGTATTCTATGAAAACATTTCCCCTATTTGTGTTTGAACAGTCTATGCTTAATATGTTATCATAGAGTATTCATTAAAATTATCATTGAAATCACAGATATGTATAGTTTAGAGCTAGATGTTTCTTCATATATTTTTGAACAAAGTAGGACCGAACTGTTTAGTGCCGAGAAAAGAGTGCTTAGTTAGTAATTGGCATTTTAAGGCCCACCTTTAGTTAGTGGAAGGAAATTTAGGGTGATTAGTAAGCATATGAAGAAACCGTGGAAGCAGTGGGCTATGGGGGCTTTAGCCCCCCAATAATTGCTAAAATGTACCAAAAATCTTCCTGCTCTTGGTTTTTAGCATGTATAGCCCTAACACATTTCAACCCCCTCAGTCTGTAATATGCTCCACGGTCAGATGTGCTTTATGAGCATATGTGCCTTACATTGCTGTTTGATGTGTTATGCACGAATCTCACCCACCTTTGATAGTGTCTGTTCAGCGCATATCCCTGAACCCGGAATGATCCTAGCCACAAAAAAGCATCTGAAGTTTATAATCGAGAATAAAAGACATATATTTTTCAAATGTTAAATACAGCCATTTATCAAATTAGCATATTTTGTATAGAAATATGTCTTATTGGGGTCGTCATACCTACAAGAAAAAGCTTGCTTAAATTGTGCCATGGATAGCATCTTTCTTTCTCATTCCAAGATAGAGAAAGAGAGCGGAAAAGGGGAGAGTTAAATCGTTCTGCTTTCAATTTTCAACAGGCGTTTCCCCGATGTTCCAGTGCCTCTAGTGAATGCCTACCTGTGATTGTCTTTTACGCATTTAATCATTCATATCGTTTGCGACTTACATACCAAAGCAAACTTCTTTTAACAGATCACTTAATTCGGCCGAGTCATTGATTTATGTTCAGTTGAAAAGAAAAAAGGAAATATGGCAACGGTTAAGCGTTGCTTTAATCCTTAAATACAAATTGATTGTTACAAGCTAGCATTCATACGGATCAGTGGCGTTTGTCTTTGTGTGTGGCAATTTTCTAAGTCTCAGCATTTTTAATACTTTCACTGTTCGGCCAATTTGGCATTTGAAAAGCTAGGATTTATGCTGAATGAAGTAAATATATAGTTTGTGTTTACCGAGCCGATATTTTATCATCTAAAGACTTCAATATTTGACCATTAAAGTAGTATATAAATATGTTTTTATAACAAGGCGTCTCAGCTTTACCAGAGGTACGCTTGAAATTCGTTCGCCATAGCTGTTCATGATAATCACAAAGGTTTAATCTTAATGGTATGTCCCCATTTCTTTTAGTATCAAACTACATAATAAGTCTGTAACAGTATTAGAAATTTCTACGTCACTTTGGTTATTCTGTAAGTTATGTTATGTCTTGTTTAATTATATTTCTAAACAGCCTAGTTAGTGTTGATCAAAGTTTATCGATCTTTATGTCAAAGCAAATGCCATGCATTCAAACGAACAGACTTCTGCTGGTCGCAATAATTACCTTTTTCTAATGATGTGCTCTAAAAGGAAGGCTGTACTCGGGCAGGCAAACCTAGTAAACCTCTTGAACTGGATTGGAAGCTACTCGAGAATGTGAAAAATTACTTTTCTTTAATGTTATTTTTTGAATGAAAAGATATGTTACCATGATCCGTGTATAAAAGAAGCAAACAACACTTTTCATCTTTTTTAACAATTATTCTTTTTAACTTGTCTTTTGACATCTTTATGACTCTCTATTTATAATGCTCTTAGCTTTGTTTCAAAGATACACAAATAAAGAAGTTAAGGAACTACTACGAAATTTTGAGCACTCTAATTTTGCCGTTAATTAAGGAGGTTTTAATACTGGCTTCAGAAATTTCTTATTAAAAGAATGGCATACTGATAACATTTCTCCAACCATAGTGCCTTGTTAGAGAAATGATTGCTCTGTCATTAAGGATACATGAAGAGTTATGCTCGACACGTCGTACCAAATACCGTAATGCCTCGAATAAGCGCCCGGGCGCTTATTTAATTTTTGAGGCCCCAGGATGGACGCTTATTCGAGGGGGGCGCTTATTTAAAATATTGATTATTCAAACTGTGTTGGTCATTCAATCTTTCTTGGTGAATTGCCTTCCAATTATGTTGTCGTCGAAAATTCGAATAAGCGCCCGTTTCTCAAGGTTGAAGGATGGGCGCTTATTCGAGGGGTGGGCGCTTATTCGAGGGAGCGCTTTTTCAATAATTTCACCTCTAGGGTAGGCGATTATTTGAGGAGCGCGCTTATTTGAGGGGGGCGCTTGTTCGAGCCATTACGGTATTCATTTCTTGTACAAATTCGTTATTTTATTGTATCAAGTTTTGTTCATTTTCGGCGTACAACACGCACAGCATGGGGATACATATTTGAAAAAAGGGTTTCTGAAACTCACGGGGGGAGGCATGGGCGTACGGGGCATAGGGGCTTGGGGGCTAAGGTTCAATTCGGGCTATCTAAATAGAACAATTATATTCGGGAAAGATCCATACTAAGCCCCCCCTTCCTAAACTTTGAGCATCTGCTGCGCCTATGAGGGGGAGGAGCGGTTGTTTGTTCTTGGCTAACGCTGAGTCGACTCTATATTAAACACTATAATATATTTTTTCATAATATATTATTACAACAGACAACTTTAGTTTGAAGCATTTTCAGGCCTAAAGTGACGCCTTGGACCAATGCTTAGGCATAATGGCACGAAATAATGAATTAAGGGCAATCAACGATCTTTTTCCTTTTTTAATAATACAGCATTCTATGTAAGCAAGCCTCTATTTAGGGGCTCTCCGTATTAATGCTCAGGACGTTAAAAGACATTTGGAGCAACCATTTTCAAGTAATTTACGCAAAAAGGCGTAAATGCATCGTATGTTGTTAAGGAGATCCTACTCCTTTGCTGGTCTATCGCATTAGTAACAGCTGATTTCTACATCCTTATGATCCACTCTATACATTGCAAGATTGGATATGTGATATAATTTAGTGATAGGTCATATTTTGGTTTAACCAATTTCTTTACAGTTGATATGAAACTTACTTTCTCTTTTGTGGCATAGGTCAGGAGCATCGTTCAAGTTGAAGTTGAGACTGCCAGTCAGTGAATTGTGGTTGCAGAGCGCAATTGATGGCGTCTGCGAGTCTACTGTCGCTCCAAACAAATCGTTTGTCGTCGGATGGCCCACTGTCAGCTACGTGGCAACTTTTAGGTATACAAATTTTCTTATTTCATTTAGATATTAATGTCTTTGTGACATGCTGAGGTGCACCCCTTTACGAGTTTAAGATAGAGAAACAATGTTGGTGGGCAGAGGTGAATTTCTAGAGGGGGATGGGCGGCCGTGCTCTTTTACCGTTCTGGGTGATTTGCGAGCTTTACCCAGTTTGAGTAAGCAAAGTGTGAACGGTTTTTAATGACTAACCTCTTTCCTATCTTCATATTTTCATAGTTTATTTCTCTCAAAAAGGGATGCCCTTCAGCAGAAGCTTTTTTCAAAGGGCCCTCTGATAAAATGTAATTACCATATAACATCAAAAACTACCAATAAGTAAAGGAACCCTAGTATAAACCCGTGAACAATCAAATATTTTCATCAATAAAACTAGATATCAATGGTTTGAGATTGAATAAATTTGTTGAAACTCTAAAGAAAGAATTCCTTCTTAGATTCAGCGCGAAGGCTAGTGATCAATAATTTTGCCACCCGACTCCCACCCCCCTAAGCAAAATTATTTTTGCCCAGTAGCAGAGTTTTTCTTCTACGGGTTTTACTAAGTTTCACTGATGTGTACGATTTTTTCAGCGAGGTGCTCTAAGCTTGCAGACCCAGACACTTAAGGGCAAATCCATTCTCCATAATTCCAGGAAGCATTTGGACGAAAATCAACTATGCTTTTATCCGGCAATGCCAAAAATTGACTGCAAGTAAATTATGTCCATGAAAGGATGTTGCTAAACCTTGATTTCATCACATATAATCGCTCTTCTTCGACTTTCCTATTCAAACCTCTAAATTTTAAGAATTTTTAAGTTATATTACGGTCAGCAGAGACACGGGCTTCAGATCATGCTCTTCCTCTCGAAGAGAAATGCTAGTGTCCTTCTAATTCCCTCTTTTTTCCTTATTTCAAATTTTGTTCAACTCCGGACAGAAACAAGATATGCCTTCTTTATGTTAGAAGTCAGTCCTCAGCTAACAGATTTTGGAGGATTTCGGCAATTCGTAATGAATTGTCGTCTTAATTCGGTTCGTGTCAGGGTTAATTCCAAAGATCTGGATAGTTCGTGAGAAAGTGTCGCAAAGGCATATCTGCTTTCTGTCAAGTTGACTTAAGTAGTTAAGTGTAGTAACCATTTTGAATGAAAGAGATCAGCCTGACGGGTTCTTGGCTCTTTCTTAAGTTAACTGTGCTTAATTTGTGTTCACTGAAGTATCATGGCGCGATGAATGGAAGCTTATTTGTCAATGCACTGTGTCATTCCAGGAATAAACAGATTTAATCGTCACAAAATCATAATCATAATAATTATACAACATTAAAAGAACCACAGCACTATTCTTCGAGAGGATAAATGAACCATAGCTGGATTCTTTATCCCCTTGAAGGCAGTGTTAGAGGTATCACAAAGCAGTATTTTGCCTTTGTAGATTTTCTCACCAAGAGAATAGGGACACGAAAAGCTAATGATATCATTTCGTGTTATGAGTGTTAAAAATTGTTTCGACTTTTGTCGTCAAATCTGAAAAGTTTGAATATTGTTTTTCATTTGAAAAAAAGTTCTTAGGTACTGGACTATTATATAGGTGGAGTACATTCGAATACAGTTTCTGATATAAAAGTTTATTTTGTACGGTTCCAAATGAGTGCACTGAGAAACTAACCTTTGTGAGTTGCCATCCCCCCCCCCACCCTGGCCAATTCTTCTACCTTCCTCTTTCTGGGAAGGGGTGTCGCATCGATCGGTTGTCCCACTTTCAATGCGTTTAATTTCGCAGCAATAATAACTCATGGTGCATTATTTCCTTTCATTTTACGATGCTGAGTAATATTTGTCTAGGCACTTCTTACATAGCACACTCTACACAAAAATTGCGTGACTTTCGTTCCGTCGGCATGATTTGTTTTCTTCCGATATCAATTACGTCATGCCCCGAAAGGCAACCGTTTGTGCGCTACGACCATTTCTTGTATTTCTTACTCGTCCAAGTGAAAAGAGTATTTCCAAGCTTAGCTATGGGTTGCAAGGCTCAGCTTTATTGAAATTTCCTTGTATAGACACCATGAATTGCTGTCAGATTATGCCTCCCCCAAGATGTAAATCTATGCAATAATTTAAAAAAAATGTGTTATCGTACCCCCACCTACATTTCTGGCGACACAACAACCGTGCCTGTCTTCATTCCTCGAAAAAAAGAGATATTAACGTATAAGGCATGCTTCACGACAAATCTGCTTGTGATGTAGCACCATTTTCAATCTTCAATAACAGCAGTGTCTGAAGAAATCCTTTTTATTAAATATATTTATGATTTTGTTGCACAAGTTGTGTAATTACAGCAATGATAAAATCCTGATACCTAACTTAGAATTTAAGTGGTATAAGCAATCAGGTGTTGTTTTGCTCTTTGTTGAAGCCTAGTTAGGAATTTTCTGCCTTGTTTATTGGCAGTTTCGTATAGCTAAGGCAAGGTAAATCCACATTTGTTATTAAGGTGTGCGTTTACTTCAATTTGACTTCCTCGATTATTGACTGCTATTTTTTTGTGTCGTTGGGTATGATGAATAATAAAATTTTGAATGAAACAAACGTCATTTGTTTGTAGAAGGAAAGGGAACCAAAACCTCTTTGAAATCACAAGCAGCGCACACAGTTGATTACATGTTATTGTCACGTGGCCTGATACTCATTGATTTCGTATTCTATCACATGAAATACGCCCCGGAACAAATTTCACGTGATGTGATTACTTTCAATGAGTATACGCAGTACATCGTGTGTACCTCAATTTGCGTAACAAGCTGTACGATATAGAATCTGCCGAAAAAAGAATTTTGAATCCACAAAAACTGAAATAGTTGTCCATTAACAGAAACATTTCTAAGGAAAGGGGTCGTATATACCATCTTCCTCTTCAATGTGTATGTGTATTTTTTACTAGTCGCAATAAACTATGGACTTGCCACATGTAGTTCCTTGATTCTAAAGCACTGCATAAATTTTATGAACTGCCAGTTATCACGGCGAGTATGCGTCACACCGATAAGACGGAAACGAGACCTCCTTCCCGTCTCCTATGCGCGCCCTTGTCAAGGTATAGCAATTGCACCATATATACAAAAGATTTATTAGGTGGTTCAGAACTCATTGTAGCCAGCTGGAGAGCTAGAGGAGCCCCAAGTGGACATGTTTTACGAGAATTCGTATCCCGTTTCTGACCCGGAAAATGGTTTAAATCCTTGAAAATGTCCATATTTTGTCCGCTGAAATCATAGTGTATGTTCTATCTGAAGAGCAGGAAAACATGCCGAATAAAATTATAAATATTTGCAAGAAACATTTATTTAAGAAATTTGGCTACAACTTCTATAGGAAATTTTCTTATAGAAATTAAAGAATTTTTGATAGCTCTTGCACAAAAACACGCGAAATAAATCTTGAACCATTTTTTATTTTTCTTGTAAAGGCTGGATACAAGATTTAATCCTTTCCATATATAAATATATCTTATATATCTCATCCGGCCTTGGGTGAACATGAAGTATGAGTATTAGTGATCCATTCTGTGTAGCGGTTTACTTGATTTCGGATTCCTTTTTGTGGATGACCCCTTGTGTTTAGGAGAGCATTCGCATCAGTTTGAGTAATTTTTAAGTTGATATTTTCAAGGCTCCACTAAGACGCCGCGCAATGCACGCCTACGCTCTCTCAATAGAATTTTCAATATTAATATTCCTGAGTGTCTAGAAGAGCGCATTTAATAAATTGTTTAGTCCATTGAAAAAGTAAGGTTTTATGCCTTCCTTAATCTTACTCAAATTTGCCCCTGTCACTCTTCCAAACACTGACCATCAATTTTACCAAACCTCAAGGCCAAAGGACAGATCTAGACTGAATTTTACGTAAAGCTCACATCACATATTTCACAAGTCGTGATATGAAGTCAGTCATTGCCTTAGTAAAACCTGGAATCAACATAGTGCGTTCAAAGGAAAAACACCATGGCAAAAATATAACCGCGTCATCAGGAAGAGGGAGGTGGGCTTAGAAATAGGATATGAATCCACAATACCGATGCTTTCCATTTTCCTGTTGCAAAGAACACGATTTAGGCAGCAACTACAGTATTCCCTTTGTAGGATTCATCGAATAGTATGGTCCCCTTGTTTACTCCTAGGTTACAAGGGGTGGCTTGAAAGAAGATGGGGGCAACATGTTCCTTTGAAAATACTCTTACATTTTGAAATACCAATACTTCTCGTCGCCTACTATGAAGTGGCACCACAACTGAAAACCTATTGGCCATCGGGGTAATTTTTAAAATACATTTCTCCCTAGTTTTTAACTTCCTTAGAAATACTCTAATGCTGCTTTTCAACATATTCGCAAAATCATTCACTGTAAACTTCAACTTCAATGATACAGATATTTTAAGAGGCTTTAAGATCCCTAGAGAGAATTAACGATCACAAGTGAGTTTGTTATGAGGATCGGTTTGGCTTATACTTTCAATCTTTTCAGTGTTTATATTAACATAAACAAATTTGACCTAACCTGTCTTATGTCAATTATTTCCGAGGTCAGTGATCACATTTGCTCTGTAAATAATTTGTCTAATGTAATCTTGATTTTACTAGTCAACTTTGAAGCCTTAAACATTAGCAGAATCCTATTCTGACAGTGATAGCAAATACAGTTGTTCCGTAGGATTTGCAATAACTTTCCCTCCAAAAACCCTTTAATCTAGAAGTTATATTAAGCTCAAAGAGGCGTAATAACTCAAAGATTAAATGGCGTGAGGGGGAATATAAAGGTCTTTCTCTGAAATAAGGCGTATCAGAGAACAGTATTCCACAAAGAGATACCATATTAATCGAATTCCTTTATTACTTTTCCTTTTCATTGAAAGATTTTCTTGAAAAATTTAAAACTGCTAGTATAAAAATTTTCATTTGCATTTGTGCATTTGTTTTTATCCGAATCGGTTGCTGATTTAGCAGCTATTTTCAGGCAGATTGCATCTTCATTCACGTTAAATAGAGAAGGGTTATAGACAGGTACCCTTGTACCCTAATAGAGAGGGGTTATATAGATAGAAAGTAAACCAGTTATTGTAGCTTATCGCCCTTATTTTTTGTCGGGTTGCTGTGACTATGACATTGTTGAAGTTAGATTCTTTTGACCCAGAATTTAGCCTTATGTTTGTCATTTTTGTGACTAGTTTTTTAGTGACAGTGGATGACGGTGACTGCAGGTTAAAACTCCCTGTTCCTTGTTTTGGGCATAAGGCCTATCCTTTGGCGACACACATTTCTCTTCGTAATATTCGAGAAATTTTGTTGTTCAGAAATACAAAGGTCCCTTGTTTTTTGTGTCAATGTTTCTCTAATTTTCGGTTTCTTGTGAAAGTATTCTCGTTAATTAACCAACAGTTGGGAATTGTCCAGCATTAGGTTCTTCTCTGATCAGGAATGATTTTTACCCAAAGGCAGTTGGTAAGCTCTATTTGCCACTTAGTTCTTTAGTTGTTAGCAAAAGAATCGCGCAACACAAAAAACGTACCTTTCATTTGGCCTAGAATAATCTGTTTGGCGGTTCCTCAGACGAGTAATGCAGCAAAAATAAGCAGAACATATTGAAAATTTGAAATAATGGACTTCATGTCGGTCTTTTTAATCTTTGAACAGCGTGTTTATATTTTAGATAGGACTTCAGTGCAAATAAACAAGGTCGAACAAAACATAGTACAATTCAGCTCCTGGCAACAATTGTCAATACGCTAAGCCCTCGACGGTCTTTTTATGTTCCGGAGTTTATACGTTGCATGGTGAAAACGGACGTTTGAGCATGTTATTGCGGAATTAGGTCATTTCTGTAGGCCGCTCCTATTGAGCGGTTCAGTCAGCTTCTAATATCGTGGTTTAGGCCTGCGTTGGATAAACCATCTCAACAATGATCAAATATTTAAGAACAGTTTATGGAACTGATAAGTTGGATTTTAACCCTAAAACAGACTGTGACTTTGAATTCCTTTGTTCTAGCACTACTGAAGACAAGACTCTATGGTGGAACGTCCTCAAAAAGTAAGAAATCTTCAGTGATATTATTTTACTCCTCGTTACATTTTGATGTATATTGCATATTGATTTCACATTCAAAGCTCGATAAAACGAGGACTTTTTGCAAATGCTTAAATAGTCTCGCGGGTTTCGCCAATATTTATTCGCGAAATTTAAGTTCAAGTCGATTGCAGTACCCTTTACCATAGAGGGCAAAGCAAGGCAGGTGTCAGAAACTGTCGTCGTCAATACCATTTCAGCATCTATTTAATTATACCGCCTACATTTTTGTACGGTGAACAACACTTGTTCGTAAGAAACTCCCAGTACTTAAAAATTACATATCAGGTTTTTTGTAGCTTCCAAATTTTTTTGAAACAGCAATTCGTGAATTTTGTTGAAAAACTACAGTTGAAAACCTTCACGACGAACAAATTGAAAACTAGAACGGAGTTTTGTTTCTGCTCAGGGGTGTAGTTTTTAGGGGCTGGGGGAAGACGTTTAAGGGCCTGTATTTCATTCCGAGACGTGCCTAATTTTGACTTCTTGTTATCTTTCACTATAGCCTCAATATTTTTTTCCATTGTTGAATATTTCTAAGCTTTTCAACAGCAGAATCATCGAATTTCATGTAAGGCTGTGTAATGAAAATAAGATTGTTCGATAATTAAGATAAGAAATGTATAATTTTAGTTATCATTCAACACTTTTTATGTCATTTTTAACCACGTTAAGTCTGAAAGTTGTTATTATCGGTTCCTCTTTTTTGACCTTGGTTAGTCGTTATATCATTTTTAGTTCCGGTTTTTCTACCTTAGCAAAGGAACTTTCGACCCCACATGGAAACGTGAATGGTTGAACGAGGCTTTTTTCTTTAGGCATTAGCGCTATTCTTTTCATCCAAATTGCGTTATAATCCTTGATGATAGATAAGATAATTATGATGAATCTCGGAGGAAATTAATCATAGTCATTACAAGCTGCCGGGAAATGACTTGGAGAAATCAAGAAGTGACGTGGAAGAACGCCTGTTTCAGATTAACAAAGGTTGATAAGGAGTTCATAGAAGCTCTCTGGGTAGATTAAAACTAACTTCCGGTTCGTTTCTCGGAAAAATTTTTCTTTTTATCTTTTTTCTTCTTTGAATAGGTGATGATATCAATTATCAATTATAACTTACTCGTTTAAGCAAAGAAGCTTAATACGAGTAAATCAAAGCTGTTTTGTAAAAGGATAAACTGTTTAGCTCGGCTGAAATTATCTAAAAAATGTCGATAGCAAAAGACAGAAGAATGCAAGTTTGTTTGTACATCAAAACTAACTGATACAGAAATCAGTCAACAGGGCCTCCGACGAAGAAGGAACGGGGGGCCATCGCTTCCCACTTTTTGCAAAACAATAGAGCTTTTTGAAAATATTTTGTTATGGGTGTTGAATTTTTCCTTGCCCACCTCCCCCCCCCCCCACTTTCAAACCTGTGTCGGAGCCCATGGTCAATTATGGTGCCATTCGGGATCATGATACCATTCATTAATGATGAAACATGTCGCAACACAACAGCAGTAACTAACTCACAAACTACCTTATGTCTTATTATTTTTTTATTTCAAAATTTGGAAAATTAGGCCCCTATATATTCGTAAAGTATTGGAAAGCGCTCTGCCTTCTCATCTCTATTAAAGAAAGCTCAATTACAACTTTTGCATCAACATGGAACTAAGGTCCATTTTGAATTTACGATTGTACCTAATGTCTCACTGGAAACATTCTCAGGGTACCTGTGGGCTTTTTTGAATTCATCTCACCGAGAACAGTGAGAGTATTTTAAAGAACCCAGCACTCGTCTGCCAGTTGCATAATACGTAATTTGAAAGAGGAGGTCAATATCTGCTGTTTTTTCGTATTCTTTTATAAAGTATTTTCTCTTCTCAGTTTATTTTCTATTCATATCTTCTACCTAGTTTAAGAATATGGGGACCTTGAAAATAATAATTTACAATTTCGACCCAGTCTGGTTTGTGCAAAAGCTTGAATATAGATCAAAATAATTAATCTTTGTGCTTACCTTTCAGGGGGAGGGGTTGCATTTTATAATTCTTAGCTTATTTCATGTAATGTAAGAGCTCAGAAGGACTTGTCACATCGTTTTGCGAAGAAAACTTTGTCTCAAAAGAAGCTTTTATATAGTAATTGTAGGTTGTAAAGGCTTTATTTGATGATTTATATTGCGAAATTGCACCTTTATTTACAACATCCATTAAAACAACCACGCCTACTCTTCCAGTTGTAATGTGAGACTAGAGTCGTTACGAGAGTACGATTAAAAAGCATTCCAGGATACATTTACCAGGTTATGAAATATTACAACTGGTGACCAGGTTTGGCAAAAAACTGGACAAAAACTTGCGCAATGGGTAGCAAAGATTTTAGCCACACCTCAAGAGGAAAGGCTCCAACTTGTCTTGTATAGAAGCAGCTACCACAAACCTAACTTAATCTGTTTCTTGCTTTGCTTTCGATGATTGAATTGTATTTCTAGAATTCAGTCTCAGTCATCGGTATTTTTCCAGTTCGGAAAAATTTTGCATTGTCAGTTCGATTCACACACAAAATGCCCTTTTTCAATGTTTGGTCTCTAATCGTGCAAACGGTCAACGGAACAGCTTAAGGTACATGTTTTGGTAGCCGAGAGCCATACGTGGGCGTTTTTATCCAACATGGTATTATAAGGTAAACCAAACATGACAGTAGGAATAAAAAATGAATTTCGTTTTATCCTCCTATAGCACTTGGTTAAATTTGACCTAAGATTTCCATCCCCATTGTGGAGAAAAAGCTAAAAAAATGTCAAAAAATGTCTTTAGGTACGGGGAATAGAAATTATTTTTTTAAAGGAAAGAACTTTGTTTTGGCATTTTTTGAATGAACTTGATTGTGCTAAAGGCTCTGAAACATAGCTACGTTCAGTAGCATTGTCTCCTGGGGACCAGGTTAGACATGCCCCTTCCTATTGTCAAATTCATTTACAGAGACTTTCAGAAAGTCTGCCTTATGCCCAACCCCAATAGAATTAAATTGCAATGAGGCCTTGTCCAAATGACTACAGAGAAGTAGTCGGACAAGAGATGCGAGGGTGCCAAAGTTCCTGCAGACAAACGATACCTCAACGCTTAACTTTGACGGGAAATGGGGAGTTACTTATCTTGATGCACACACACGTAGGCGCTTTCGGTCACAATCTCTGTTACAACGCAAGTTTTCCTATCTGACCTTGGTAATTGCTTCATTAACTAACTGCTTTCGATCATGTAGGCTATAAGGTAGGAAGGTGCAAGTGACTGGCTGTCTAGGAATCTACCAAAAATTTCAGTGGTGGAAATCCTGTGATTTAGTATTATAACCGCAAATAAGCAGGGGGTTTAACTAACGCTGTCGATGTTAGACAGGGTGCTGAAATAATGACAACACAAAGTTTATAGGGATGACTTGAAAAATCGCCTTTTTAATGTTATGCATTGGAGCTTGACTTGTGGAATATTTGGGACAAGAATCGAAATTTCCATTTGGCTTGGTTAAATTTACATAAAATAGTTAATACGTTGCGTATGCTAAATTGGTTTTATCTTCATGTCTTCACAGGACCATTGAAGAACAACGAGCCATCGAAGGAGGAAGAACTGTCCCAATCAGAATTATTTTCAGAGATACGATCCAGAAAAATAGTGCTGTAAGTATCTGTCCCCATTTGTTTTTTCGCTAAATAATAAAGCAATTGATAGAAGGGAGACATTCAAGGAAAATTTTTTCGAAGTTGACGAAACGTTTTTTATTTGTTTTCACCAGCGCCAGTTATAAGTGCCGTAAGGCATCTTTAAGTTTTTAGATGAATGATCGCATTCTCAATGTAAATTCTTTTAATTCGTATCAAGGGTGCTGCTTTTTCCACTATATTTGATTGTCTGTTTGTTTGTTTGTCTGTTTTTTCAAGCAATCCAAAAGCAATACCTTGCAAAATTAATTTTTTTCTGAGTAAAATGTTACAGAAATATATACACTCATTTTTTATGATAGAAATTTTATTAGAAAACAAGCCTCAAAATTGGTTAAAAGTTAAGAGTAATTTTCAACAAAATAATGAAACCCCTTTAAAGAATTTTATCTCGAAAACGAAGAGTTATTTGCCATCTTGGCTTTGACGGCAAATATGTTTTGAACACTCACCTTGAGCACAATAGCTAGCTGCTTGCACCCTAATAATTTAAGATCAAATTAAGCATTAAGTTTTGGAAAAATAAAGAACAACCAGCCTGAACGTCTCTTTACTGGTTCTCTTAAAAAAGAATGTACGTACTTTTAACATCACAGGACTTGTGGATATTCTTGAATTTTTCCCTGTAGGCCATTTACTATTTCGTAAATTCTTTTTGCGATGAAACTTGCTTACCTAAGAACATTATATCAATGCACAGATATAAATATATGTTTATACGTAAGTAAATGAATAAATAGATAAACGAATGAATATTTGACATTTGTAACTTGATCTTTTAATTTGGCATTAATTTTCCACGACCATTAGCCATATATCTTTTTAGAATATGAAAATCGATAGCAATTGAAAGGAAATGAGTAAAATTGTTAAAACATTGAGATTGGAGCTTTTTTATTTGCACCCCAAATGAAAGCACGCCTTTGGTTAAAAGAGGTTTTCAAAAGTCCAAAGCTTCTCTCTTGTTTTACAAATGTCTTTTTAGGTGTCATCCAGCTGTTCGCTTGTATTTCCTTTCTGTTTCCTAATTTATCGGTAAATCACAACATCTTCCAGTCACGTTTGTCTTGACCTTTCCTGTGCTTGGTGTGCTTAGTCTAAATCCATGCCAATTCGTCGTGCAATTTTTCACCTTTATTTCACGTGACCTCGTTTAAGTGTCTTTCATTTGCTCATCACAAGCTTCACCGATTGACATCCTTACTGACCTTTGCAGTTTTCTTTCCACAGCCATTGTCACTGCCAGTGTCAAATGAAGACGACGTCAAATCTGTAGTCAACATGGCATTGCAGGGTTTTGGCATTGCGGTATGTAGCACAATTTACCTTTCCCATGATTTATCTGTTATTAATTTCATGCATATGTTGCTGGTAAGCTGTGGTGCAACCAACTTTCGAACCTGATTTATCTGATAACTTGACCCTTTCAGGGGCTACTAGTAACGCATAATTATGGGCCTTTCACAGCTTCTTAATGCTCTCCATCGAATTCTCTTTGAATTCAAATATCATGTAAGTTGAAAAAGATCCAAAATGCTCAATGTTTACCAGAGTGACAAGTAAATATTATTTTCTTTCAATTCTCGTAAAAGATTCCAGCAAGATTGGTCAAACGAACTTAACAATATCTTGTTATTTGTAAGGGTTTTTTTGGCATTTAACCGTCTGGTTTATTACCATGATTTAGGGAATAAGTTTGGTTAGCGAACAGACTCTGATTCAAGCGAAGGGCATATCACTCTATAAAAATCTCGTATACATTTGGCGAAAATCCTTTTGTTCTCAAGAAAAATCCCTGAAAAATTCTTAAAAATCTTATTAGTCCAAACAATCTCGAACGATGTTTAGAAAGAGTGATTCGCCCCTCGGATTCAAGTTATAAAAATTGAGAGAGATTCCAGAATTGGAATTGGTTTTGTGATCCAATTCAGTCATGAATATTCAAGGCTTTAGTTTCAAATTAGGAGAATTTATGGATCAATGAGCCATTTTGTATCATACCGACCCTTTTTCTCCCTTATAAAATTTGCCTACACAAGTCTAAGGGCAGTACTAGAAATAATTTTATAAATTTTGAGTAACGAAAAGTTTGATAGGTGATATTGGAGGAATGAGTTGCAGTTGTATTTTAAGTCGTCTCAAGTCTACACTGAAACTAGAATCAACAGGACATTTTATGCTTTGAAAACTGCATGCCAGAATCACTGTAGAAACAAAATAGAACATTTCGTCACAAAGTGTTCCAAAAAGAATTTTTCGTTGATGGTAGTCCCTTTGAGGACGCTGTTCTCGGGAAATGCACGAATTTTAGGGTCGGTATTTCAGTGATATTGTTCCTGGTAACTGGTTAATTGCATTTCGTTTTACAAGGCTATCAAATTGATCGATGCACAAAAAACAAAAGAAGACTTAGTGCTTGTTGTTAGAAAGAATCTTCTGTTAATAAGAATACTATGAATGTTTCCAGCCTCGATATTCTTAAGAAAGTTTTATTGTGAGCCTGAATATCTTCTCAGAGCATTCTTTTTTCAAATCTGATATGGTTTTAGGGGAACACCGCCTGCTCTTGAACAAAAACCATGCTTTTTGAAAAACCAGATAGATCAATTCTGCGTTTCCCTGCTGCAAAAAACATCCCAAAACATCTGCTAAAAGATGAGACACAAATGTTGAGTCTGGGCAATATTCTTTAATATTCTTAAGAATTGAATGATTCTGATCCTGAAATGTTTATAAGCAACATTCCTATGAAAGAAAAAGAGCGTATTTAGTCGAACGTAAAGGTGAAACTATTCGTGCTAGTTTTCTTTTCGGTTGGTGGTCGTCAAGTAGAAATAACACGGACAATGTAAAGCACTCTAAATTCATTTACCTATGGTCAATTTTTCTTCAATATTTTTTATTTAATCAGAAGTCGAAAGACTGTCAGCCCTCAATCGCCGTCTTTGCAATCAGGCCCTGTCTCATTTAAGTTGCTAAATATTTGCTTTTCTGGAAACTAATTTAAAAATTAGAATTAAGCTTATAAGTGTAAGTCATTGGTTGTGTCGATTTTGGGTAATCATAGATTATAATTGGCAAGTATTAACATTCCTTTCTGGTTCTATTATTTCAATATCCTAACAGCTCAAGCAATATGGAAAATGATAGGGCATACAAGTACAAACCGGCATTTCCAATTCTTACATCTTTAACTGGGGGATGGGGTAGGTGTAACAAAGAAAGTTTAGCCACAAATGGTGATCGAGATTTTTCCATCATAGCGTTTAGTTTCTTTTAGTAAAATAATAAAAATAGTAATAATAATAGCAATGTTTAGACAGGGTATCCTCCTCAATACACGAAGTGCTGTTATCAACGAGGGCGCTGTAATATTTGAGAAAGTCTTGATGCATACTTGAGAATCGTTACACTGCTTACATAACTTTACTGCATACAAACGACAATCGACCTTTCTATTGAGGGAAGAATGGGGGCAAAAAGGCCGTCACCATAGTTTAGGCAAGAACAATTTTGAGACCGTCACAATCTTGGAATGGCTGAAAAATTGATCTAAAACATCTAAAACATCAATATAGACTCAAGGATGATTCATGACCCTAAGAAATGTTTGCAAGCTTTCTTATATTCCAAACAACAGAAAAACAATTTTGTAGCAAAAACTCTCTTTTTGTTGACAGTAAAGATTCTGCATTTTTACGATTTGGTTTTCTTGGCTTTTCGCATTTCTGAGCTTTTTGATTCTTAAGTTTTTTGGTTTTGTAAGCTTTTTGAATTACCTAGCGAGAAATGATCCACACTTTACAACGGACAGTGACCGTGTCCGTTGTAAGGAAAGTTCTACTGTATGGGCAAATTCCCACAGTCGTCACTGGTCTTGAAGGATTTTAGAATAATTTGAATTTCAGAATGATTTTCCAATTTTCAGTACCTGATCACCTGATATCTTATCAAAGATTACCTACAGGAGAATTAGATACGAGCAAAGATATCATCACCACGAGAAGGCAATTTGTGTCAATTTTATTCATGGGTGGTGAGCTATCGGCCACAATTTGTCATAACAAATTATTGTGGATATCAAGTTAGGTTTGGGTCAATTATTCCTATGCTGGGAGGAAAAATCCAATTCACGCTTGAATCGATAAGAGTTGTTATAAATTTCATTCTTGATAACTTTGAGTTGTTAAGCTGTTTCCAGTAAGGAGCAAGTTTCAGAGGCTAAAAAAGTGACTTGCCGATTGAAATAGTCTTTTGGTGAGTTAGAATGAAAATACGGCATCGAGTTTGAATTTTAAATTAGGAGAGTTGTGGCCATTTTAGAATTTCCAAGTGTATTTTCTTTAATTATAAGCACAATTGTGTTATATTACAGTTTTTTGACATTTTGGTAAGAATACATGCGATATAAGTTTTTGTAATGGTTGTAATTATTTAAAAAAACTATATATGTTTTAAAGCCTTTGAAAAACATAGCCAAACACTGTGTTAAGATAATGTATATATAGTGCTGTTTGTCAGGCTTAAATGATATGTTTTATATCACAATCATAGCGGTCTTGTCTGAGTAGTTAATCGATAGTACATGATTTTTATAATTAAAATTTTACCCTGATTTGAAGTTTGTCTCATTTTGTATAAGAAGAAAGTCACACCTGGAATCTAAAATGTTGTTTCTTAAATGCGGGACACTACTGTATGTCACCTTTTTCTACTGTCTCCTTCTTGATCTTTCATGCAATGGCCAATCAAGCTCTAAATCTATACTTATTCATGTTGCTCCAATAGCAAGTAATCTATAGCAAGTTATATGTTGCTCCAAAAGAGCCTTTTATTTACTTGCACTGTTTTCCCTTACAGGGGTCTGATGTGAACGACTTTCAACTTTGGGTGGTTTCAGGGAAGGAAAACGCAGCGTATCCATTGATGGGTGAGTTTTTTTGTTTGTAACTAAATCTGCTGTCAGTTTTAATGTGCTGATCTTTACGAACATCGTGTGCTTGCTAGTAGAATTTTGCATCTTCTTAAAATTATATTAAAAGATGGTGAACAGATAACTAGAGAGCCGTGTATTCACCTTAGATATACGAACTGAGTTAAATAAGAAAAAAAATTCTTTGATTCTAAAAAAATGGATGCTGTTACCTAGTTTAAGTCAAGGGTCTCACAAAAGGGGGAGGCGATACGGGGGTGTGGTACCCCAACACTTTGTCCATTGGTACATTAGAGAGATTTGCCGGTCAAAAGAAGCAATATTTGTACTCATCTCTTTGCAACAATTGTGTATCACATATTAACATTTCTGTAGTAGCTGAACTCTCAAAGTATGGCACTAAAGTATGAACTGTGAAACAGACACATCTTTTGACCACATCCTTAAAGAGTGAGAAACGCCCTTTTTGTCAGCAAAAATCATTTCTTTACATCTTCTAAGAATGTTTTTGGCTTCGCCCCTGGTTTAAGTTGACTGCTTGTCTCTTCTTGTCGAGTTTCTTCATATCCAGGTTTCGGTTGCTTATGTCTTCATTATATATATGTTTTCATTATATTAATATGACCTTTATGATCCATGTCCATTGCAGACCTAGCCTTTCCTGACCGTTCCTCTACCATTTTACACTTGTACGTTTCTTACGTCATAAAATTCTTCCTGTGGCTGGGTTATTCCGTACTTAAATTAGCATCTCTTCTTGCAATTAGACGATACCTACATCGGCGTAAATCTGCATTGATTAGCGATTAACAAGAACAGTTTATAGTAGACATTTAGAATTATCCATTTCCCCATTAGCTTTAGCATGATGGGAGGGCTGTTCGACTCTTTGTTTACAAAGGATTTGGTCGTTAATCGCCAATAATCCCTTTTATTAACATTAAAATGACCAGAAAAGTACGTCGCTTCTCAGTTCCATTTTCATTTAGATTACAAGAAAACAAATTGTACTGTATCACCTTTTATGATGGGATACGACATTTGTCCTTCCATCTTATCTTGGTTCGTCATAGGATTTTCTTTTTAATCTTGTTAGCACAAGAAACGTGGGTGGTGTCTATCGAGAAACGCACCCTAGTGCTTCAAGCAAAATTTTCCGGAACCACGCAACCTTAGCTAAGAATGAACTTATCGGCATGGCCCCACATCAGTTTCAAAACTAGTCGCTCAGTAGGATGAAAATCCACTCTTCAATCACCTTTATGCCTCCAGCAAAATTCATCTACTTGAATATTCAACCAGCTTTGCTGATACTTGGTTCCAAGAGAAATTGCGATCATTTCATATCATCAATCAAAGTCATACTGGAGTACCGAAAGCTGCTTAAATTCTGAACGTTTAAATCACCTTTAAAGTACGATTACCTAAAATTGCATGGAAGCTTGTTTATCTGAAAGAATCCAGGGCAAAACCATGTTATTTTCATTTTCATGTAAGAGCTTTCGATCGGTTCAGGGCATACAATGTTCTTGGATTTTAAAAAGACGCTAAAAAATTCTAAATATGTTCTTACTTCTAAGTTATACAAAGCCTTCATGTTCTTCGTACCATTATACAAAATTTAGTTCAAAAATTGAAAAAGTAAAATTTTGGAAAGATAGTGAAAATACAAACCTTCCAGAACGAAATCCAAATACAATTTTATCCACGTAATGTAGCATTCACATCACTGAAATCTATAAGATGTACTTAGTAACTGGCCCAACTTAACTATTTCCTACTTTAGTACTGGTTTACTATTTCTATGGATTCGGCTCTTGTAGGCTATGTTCTTATGATAATACATGTACGGGCTATGTTTTACGTAGTGAACATCTTTAATGTTAAGATTCCTTCAATAGCTGTTCATAGTTGATCACTTTAATCCGGTTGTTCAAGGCATGTTGTTAATAGACAGCTTCAGTTCTCCGAGCATAACAACACAATACAACGTAACAGAAGCATGACGTAAGTGTAACATAACATAACATAACATAACATAACATAACATAACATAACATAACACAAGCATATCACAAGTATAACACAGGCACAATATAAGCATAAGTAACATAACATGATATAGCACATTGCATGGCATTACATGACATAACACACGACATAACACAGAACATAATACAGAACATAAAATAACGTAAACGATAAGTATTTTCCACATAGAATATTTCATAAAACCCTTACATGGAAAATGTAAACAAATCATATAGCACATTGACTGAAAAAGGTATTACCGCCAAAAAAAATTAAAATAGGAAAATATTAAACGGACTCGATTGCATTGACAGCAGGCTGGTTGATCATAAGTTTCTAAAAACAATCAAGGCCAGGGTTCATTTCAGGAAACAAGAAGACAGAGCGATTACTGCCCTGGTGGTTACCCACAACCATTAATTAAAAAGAGATTGTAGAGCAATACCTTGCATTCCCATAATCGATGAGTTACTAGGTCATTTAGTCCAACTTTTGGTTTTGTTTTGCTTATATATTTAGAATTAAACTCGATTACTTTGACAGTCGAACCTTGCAATTTGTTACACCCATAATATTCAATAGATCAGCGGCCATTGTAACTAACTACCCATCTGCCTTTGCGGTCACGTAACTCCGCAGTCAACTTCGATTGTTTGCTAGGGTTCACCAGTGTTTGCTAGTGTTCACTAATGTTTGCTAGTGTTCGCTATACGTGGAAGTAATGAAAATAAATAAATCCATTCCCAAGGATTTTCTCTAAGTGTGTCATTTTGTTAATAATTCTAAAAATTTCAAGTTAAGCTAGGTATAACCCTGTAATTCTTGTATCCACCAATTTATTTCGCTACATAGATTTCTCATATCAACTCCGACTGTTTCCATCGCTCTCACTATGCTTCTTTATAAACCGTGGCTATGATTTAGATTTTCTATTATTAAGTTCGCTATTTCCAAATTTCCAGGTCATGAAATACCTTTCTGCATAAAGATGAATCACATTCGACAAGCGAGCTGCAATGTCGATTCGCCTGTCACTGAACGCACTGAGTTTGATCCAGAACAAGTGCATTCAAGATCAAAGTGTGAGTTTATATTGAAGAAAAAGAAGAACTCGACTGGTCGCCTTGATGTTGGTGAGTTTGATTTCATCATTATGGTTAAATTTGTTAGTAAGTTGTATGACAATGGCATTTACAATGTGGATGTTTAGACCATCCTGTTTTTCACAGCAACAGCTTTTTCAATAAGGCAATACGCTCTCTGTTACAGAACAGTAGACAATTGTCTTCGTTAGTTTTATACTTGTATGCCAGAAGGAAAGGAGGCTAAATACCTACAACGCAAAACAGCCCGAATTGTTTGGAACGCGAGAGGTCTACAATAACCCAAGATGATCGAGCTCTTCCGATAACCAGAGATGGTCAAGCTTGTTCCAATAACATTGAAAGGTTTAAGAAGCTTTTGAGCAGGGCTTTAATAAGGTATTCGTACCGTGGTTTATCCGTGTCCCTGGAATCCTGATATACTTGCTTACACCTTGTAAAAAAGCAATTTTTAGGTACATGTTCACATTCTGGGATGACGTGACCTGTTTTATTTAATATAAAACACAAGGCTATAATGCATGATCTTAGTGACCCCAGCATGGCGTCCGCATTGTCAAACCATAAGTCATAAACAAATAAATGTCACTCCAGTGACATTTGATTATCTGCTGATACGGCTGTAATCAAAGATGATCCTAATCTGTTGCCATGGGCAATTTTTAGTCAACAAATGGTATGCTAAGCACACCAGACTAACAACTGAGAAAGCTCTCTTTGTGCAGCTTCAGGAACTGTTTCAACATGAAAGTAATTCTGCGATTAAAAATTAAAGCAGGAGAAAAATGTTCGAGAATGGGAATTCTTTCGACTCAAAATTCTTTGCTTAACATGAATACATATTTTGAAATATAGCTACAAATAGCTACAATATAGCTACAAACTTTTTGAAAATGGATATTTTCTACATTTGATTTCCGAAAACATTGACATGAATTTGTAGGAGTGCAGTGGATGGAGTAAATGTGCTGAAAATGATTTTCAAACACTTAAGAAACAGTTTTATATGGATTAAAACAAGGGTTTATAGTGTTAATTGCCTAAATAAGTTTCGATATGTAACTTTGTATTCAGACCCCCTTTCCGAGATTAAGGAACAGCACTCAGTTTCCGCCCTTTCGGCAATACAGAAAATTTTTTGGGTGTCGACAAAACTTTTATAAGCACTTTATAATGAAAACGGTTCGTTCCTCATGTCCCAATAATTTTTCATTTCAAATGATAGCTTACAGTCGAGTATAGTATGTTTAATAGTGCTTGTAGTTGCCTATACATACCATTGTATGTATGTATACTATACATATCTTGTTTCGCTCACGCAAAAACATACCATGAAATCAAGAACGGGATCACAAGGTTGAAAAAAATTCTTCGTTGCATTATTCTCATTAAGCATCTGAAGGCATCAGGCGCCATAAATGATTCTAACATTTCTTTTTTAAGCTAGATTTGAAAAACTTTCGCATTGTCGCCACCCAAGCCGATAAGAAATTAAGTAATCTCACTTTCCTGTCGTTGTGAATTGATAAAAATGCCATTTTTATCAGTATAGCAGCACTGCCTTTGGGCTGTTAGTATAATGGTCTGAATTTGCAAAAGCACTCCTGAGCGGCTAAGCATCATCAGGTATTTCCGCAAATCAACATACTCAAGGCATTATACAGTGCCAATTATTGCTATCAAACTCTATAGTCGAAGTACAGGCATCTTGATGCTTCAAGGACCCTAATCTATCATCGGATTCCTCGCGTCTGTTCACGGCTTGAGAATATCAGTAAACATGTTTTAAAATCTTACACCATACAGTAAAATTGGATCAAAATTCGTATTAGGGGAGAGGGGTGAAATGGGGGAGCGAAGCATCTGTCACTTCCCAGTCAATTCTCTGTTATAACAGTTCTCGAGGATCTTTGCAATTATTAATGGCTCCCTTTCGTCGCCTCTCTCATTAATGAAGGAGATGCATAATTTGTACGCCTTATTCTTTGTGCTTTCGTTATAATTTGTAAAAGATGCACTTTGGCTCAACCTTTTTTGTTTTGGTATGATGAAAATTACTGTATGTAGCTTTCACTCCCTAGCTATTCAAAATATTATTAAGAGTAGAACTCTTTGATAAGCCATCGACCTTTTGTGCGTAATATTCGCAACGGCGGTTTAATCAATGCCTAATGATGACGAAGGTCGCTTGCCACATAATAGCCTTTTTAGGTGTAACTTCCTTTGATTCGTCATATACCACTCCCTAACGAGCAAACCATACGTTCAGATTCCGGTTTATTTGACTATTACTAGAGCGGCTGATTCAAGTCTCTTATACCTTCCCAATACTTAACAATTTATCATTTTGTCTCCTGACCCCATTCTTCTTCACTCCTACTATGTTCAATTTACTACAAGGCCACAGTGACGTAGCAATCCTAGCATTGAATTAAAACGAGGAAGTGCTTACAATGCTGGCAACCGTTGCAAGCATGTGATCTCATGAATACTGGCTCTAGTCCCTCGATGAAAAGACCCTTGTCTAATCCGTAGAAGTGCCGCAAGGATCGGTTCTTAAACCCTTACTTTTCGCAAATGACTCCTCATTAGAATTGCTTAAAGTAGATTATCATACTGCTGAAAAAAAAATTCTCTAATGACCTCTACAAATATCATTCATAAGGTATTACAACTGTTTAAAGGCACTGTTTTTTTAATGCTCTCTTACGTAAACACTGCAGATCATTTGGGGAATATGGACCTTCCTTTTATCTTCACAGTGAATATTTTGAAGCTCTATGGTTTTGATTGTAAGCTGCATTTTTGCGTTGAAGAAATTGCCTTCCAATTTCTTTTCTGTAGTTCTTATACCACTCTATCTGGCACATTTTTCTCATACTTTTAGCAGGCAATGCTCGAATCGGAAGTTAGTTAATTCATTTGCGAATGCATAAATAGATTGGGTCTTTGAATGTGCATATTACAACTCAAGCTATCTTCCAAACATTTTATGTTATAAGTTAAATGTTTTTGCACATAAAGACAAAACAATTATACAAATATCTATTTCGTAAGTTCCTTGCTTTCTAAGTTGGATGCAAACTATTCAAGTAAAGTTGCAAGTCGTATTTTTCTGGTGAAGTAAAGAAAAGAAAAATATCATATTAAAGAAAGAATCACCAGTCGTGACCATTGCTAGTTCTCCGACCCGTTTGAAGCAAAAGGCAGGATGTAAGTGAGCATATTAATTCATTTGGGTCTCTTTCCAAAGAAATCTAACAGATCAGGTTGCGGGGAGAACTCATTAATCTCAGGCACTGTAGTTAGGCCTTATTGCGTAAGTTCATTTGCTTGGTGTAATCGCTGAACCATTATCCTCTCTCTATACACTGTACAAATTTTTGTGGATGGTCCACTGCTATCGAGGTGTAGCAAATCACACAGACTCCTTATCGTTATAATTGGCTTTGAGATAAGCCGTTTCTATAGACTACAATACCTTGATTGCCACAATTTCCGCACATTGGCTTAATGTCATATCATTCTGAAATATTTTATCATGAGCAGTATCTTCGTACTTCTATTCGCAAGTTCTTTGTTATCCTGGTTAGCGTTCGCGAGGCCATTATGTTGAACATTCAGAGAACACCACACCCTTAATATCCATCATGTTTGCACAGAGTGCAGAACGGGTTGGATTTTTAGACTCTTGCATTTTCCTATCATACACTTTGGGTTTGGGACCCTGACACTATTCGGCATGAATTGCAATCTTGTGATAGTAATTGGATGAAACCATTCACCAAGATATCAAAGTCCGATAATACACTTCATTTTACTCACTCGTGGTTTGAAACCCTGAACATAAATGGGTATCAACTTGAGTCATATGACGAAGACTAGATGAAATACTCTAGATTTTCATCAGGATTTCTAAAAAGATACAGCACCATTACTTTAGAAAGCACCATTCTTTACTTTCATTTCCCCTGCCAATCGCATACCGTTTTTCATATTTGATTTTTTCCTCCTCCTCCTCCTCTTCCTCCCCATTATTTCATTTACCCATCATGTTCTTCTTCAACAACTAACACTAAAGGAACCTAAAAGGCTGGCGGGACTGCCTAGTTTTAGCGTAGACTACCACTGACAACCATTAGCAGCCATGTCGATTCTCAAAACCACCAGTTTTGCTTCATTTCGCCTCTTTGATTCCATATTCAATGGATATCTAAAGAATCTAGAATGAATCTCTTCGCGGTTGTTTTAGTAGCGATAGCCAAATTGGGTCATGATGAATGTCCAAATTAGGTCAAATATCCACATCAAGTAAGGAAAGCCAAACGTCAAAAAATGTCTTTGAAAACGGCCACGGTTAATATCTTGTGAGACATCATGCCAACTACTGGTTGGTTGTGCAAATTGATAACTACTACCATCATAATTTATAATTTATATTGTGATTTTTGTAATCAACGTCTACAACTTTGATCTCTATTACTATCTTTTTATTACTCCTCAAATCTAGCTTATATTTAATTTTTACTTTTGGTTTGATTTATGCGTAAAGAATTTGTTTTTAAATCCTATTAATCATACTTGTAGCACAAACATTAATTCTTGCGGATTTTTCTTTTATCTATTTCTTTCTTTTCTTTATCCGCTGTTCTTTGCCATCCTGAATTGCATTGCTTGTTTTGAACTTCAATTTTCAGTTCTCGGATAATGGCCTAATGTAAGAATGTTTTTGTACTTGCACATAATGTGCGTATAACTGTATCTCTAAACCATATTTTGATTTTTACTCTTTTTGCCACTTGTCGTCATGTTTGTCGCGGCTCTTTGGCGATAAGCTAGTTGTAAGTCCCTGGCTGATGTACCCAAGGTGATAAATCCTTATTTCCAATTCCTAATGCGCTTTACAATTAACCTTACAATTATTTGCGAAATGATTATCTCAATGATATAAATTATAATCACCGAAAAGAGACTTAAGGTGGGGCAATTTAAGATTTAGAATCAAAGCCTATCCTAATTACTGTTTACTATGTTCGATCTATGGGCAGAATCTTGAACTTAAGGCGGAGTAATTATGGATTGGGAAATTTAGCCTGTGTGAATCAAGTTATTCGCTCCAAGGGATCTTTGATGGACCACATCAAGGTGTTCTCCTGTATTTTGCGGAACACTCTTCCTATTTGCTCTATTTTATGGTGTTAGGAACGAGGAAAAATTCACCTTTGCAAATACTGTACGAGATTTCCACCAAAATTAGAGACTTTCTAGAGGTTTTAAAAAAACAATAGGATTTCCATCGAAGGTGTAGAAGATTTCCATGGTGTGATTTGCCCCTCGATTTAGAACGTAGAGCCCAATAGACGATCGCTATGAGAGCTGTCTGTTGACTTTCCTTGGTTTTATTTTTCCAATGCAGTTGGCCGTTTTCAGAAAGGCACTTCTTACTGTGTCCGCACGGAGTTACATTGAGAAAGACCAGACATAGTAAGGTTTTTCAAGATTGAGAATCAATCAGAACCACTATCTATCACTGATATCAGCTTAACTTTGCGTCACTTTGTTCCGTTAATTGTCCCTCAACTTTCACATTCTGATATCATTATGCTATGGAAAGCAGAAGGTATCTGTTTGTTCAATCACAAAACCTTATCAAGTACAGAGCGTCAACTTTACGGTGTCTTCTAGTGTTCCACGAATTTCAGGTTGTCAAGGAGGCTTGGAAAGTTTTTCTACGATTTGAGGCTTTCTTGATGGGAAACCCAGATTACTGCTGTCCGTTTGTTCTTGGTTGTCTCTTCTGGATAGTTCTTCGTTTCATTTTAACCATTTAGTTTGTGGTTTGCTAGAGATTGGCTGCCAATTCGAAACAGCATCTGGGAAAACATACATCATGAAAATCTGAAAGGTTAATCGGTCGCAAGACGCACCTTCGTAATCCTCAAACGGTTGTGTGCGGATTTAACTTTGCCATCGCGATTCGAGTTTTTCGTGTTAAAAGATGCTCCCACGTTTTCATAATCGATAATTGTTTGTTAGAATGCATCGTGAAGTTATAAATTCATATGGTATTTAACAATGGATTGTTGATATTGATGCATCAGCTTTGGTGTTGCCTCAGCTCGCATGCATTTGGACTTCTTTTGCAAGCAAAGTGTACCAACCGCAGTATATATCCAAATTGAAAACGAAGGCTATTTAGTACAAAGGAAATGTCGCGCAGGGCGAGGAAATCATCGTTTTCAAGCCTGTCGTGTCTACCTCTATCTATCAGCGATACTGCCCTGAGCGGCTATGTGCACAAAGATTTCTATTTCAGTGAGGGTAAGTTCATTTGCCATTCAGCCCTCATTTTTCATTTTCTACTCAAGGTACCATCACGATAGGCCTAACCTACAGTTAACGATTAATACACGAATACCCTATAGACTATCGGGTGATTTTTGGGTATACAGAATTATTTTGTTTCGTGACCTTGGCGTTAGATAAATATATTTAAATTTTTCAACATTTTTCCAACACTAAACCGAAAACGCTGCCCCGTTGCTTCATTTTCACTCCCTCTTCATCTTTTGTTGTTTTTTGCAATTTTGAAGCCACGTGGAGGTTTACTTCTATCAGCGCCAGTAACTAAAGCGAAGAGTTTCTTTTTTAACTTTGAATACATATCAGATGCACCATGATTCCTGCCTAGAGCGACTTTGCCTTTGTTTCATTGTTGTTTCATTGTTTTTGTATCTTGTTTTGATCGTTATCGCTTTGAGTATTTTAAGAACAATGCGACTGCTGAGTCGCAGGCAGTATCAGCTCATAATATGCTTGCAAGAAGCGAAATATGGGAAGCATCCCTTCCAAAGAACGGTGACCAGCCATTTGCCCACTCTTTTGACGGTTGGACGGTGTAGCTGCATTTTTATGGATTTTTTAATTTGGCCAATTTGTGTTTTTTGTGTCAAAGTGAAGGGCTTGTAAGAACGGAAATTTCAAATTATACTTGCAAAGATAGGGTGCCCTCATAGCAAGTTGTACTTACATAGGGTCCTTACTTTAGCTCGAGAGTAAAACTTGTCAGGGCTCGTTCATTAAGCCGTTTACGTATGTTTTTCTTTTCTTTAAAAAACGCTTTGATCAAGGATAAATCTTGTACCATCTTTTGATTGATCATAACCTTATTTACCACGATTTTCATTGCTTGTGTAATAAGATCGAAGAAATGAATGGATTTCCGTATTAACGCAATTATAAAAGGACCGGTCTTTCTGTCCAAAGTTTGGTCAGCCTTGGAATTAACAGTAACAGCTCTTTCTTTTAGTTTTATTTCAGTTGTTGCGTAGAATAAAGGATATGGTTTGGGCCTGAATGAAAATATACATAATATTGTAAACTAATTTTTGTGTGATTTTCAAGAAATTAAAAGCTGTGGTAACACGAGGCAGATCCGCGCCACCGCGAATAGACACTGTAGAGAAACACCGATGAATAACATAGTGAGCATGAATCGCTCTTATCCGAAACAATAAGAGACAATTTATCCGTAAATCAATCCATCTGACAATCAGGTCTTTATACAGTATTAATTTAAACATTTACAAACATACAAACAGCGCTGAAGGATACTTATAACTCATGTCGTACATGGTTTGAAATCCGTGAAGTGAACCTCGAGTACTTGAAAAGAAGCCCTGAAAAATCCAATATTCTATACCAACGCATCTGTTACTTAACATCTTATAGCACCATGATAAACTGAAGAAATTTAAGTTCTGAACCATATAATTGCTAAGTAGCCATTGTATTCAATTAATATTTATACGAAATTCTGACCAAAGCCAACGTATACGAATTTCATGTCCTAGAATTTCTTTGTATTAATCAATTACTCTTGCTGCTTCATATTTGATGAAATTTCCTCCCCCTATTACAATCTACAGGCAACACCATTAACTAGTTATATCGTCTCTGACTTATGCTCATTTTTTGTCACAGATTCGCCTAATAGCCAAAAAAGATGGAAAAGCCCCATGAAATCTCCTATCATAAACTGGGCACTACACAAGAAACCCCAGAAGCAGAACTCAATCGAAGAACGTTCTCAACAAGGAAGGTGAGTTTCCATCATTTGTTTTTCGACAAAACCAGAAAACCATAATGAATGAATTTTGTCGTTTGCGAATCACCTGTTATATCTAAAGCCATAATTTAGAACATGCTTCTTATTACATATTTACTGGCTGATAGAATGTTGATACCCCATCACCACAAAAATCCACAAGCGACACCTTCAAATCATGTTTCATCACCTCACATGTTCTCTTTGCCTTAACGTAACCTCAAGCTCGGTTCATAGTGAAATGCTTGAGAACCTCTGCATCATTTCTTTCTTTCACATTAAGTTATTGCTCGGTTGAATTCTTTCGTTTTGAACTTACTGACAGCAACTACCTCTAGATGTGGATGTAGAGCGAGTGGGGTAATTAGTATTGGGGACCACATGGCTCATTCTAAACGCCACTTGCTCACATTTTTTTCTATATTAATACTATGATTGGGGAGACGAACAAGCTCACTTCTGTGAGCCAACTGTCTTTTACTGTTTAAGAGAACGTGCACACTGTCATCTTTTCTTGAAGAGAAGGTGTTAACTTTACAGGAAGGATATCGTCTCTATACATCGGTAATAGGTGGGTCACAAAACACCCCTCCTTGTTGGACATGAGAGAATGATGATTGAAATCAATTTTTACTGCCATAAAAGGGAATTTCTCATTTGACAGAAGCCCTTTTTATGGTCCTCTCAGCTTGTTTATCTTCCTCTAAACCATGACACATAATAGCCTTCGCTTCATTTTCCGTAAAGAAACTATTTCATGAATGTTTACAGCTTTCTCTTTTTTCCTTATTTGCATTGTCATGCTCCCCAGTCTTTCAAAGGCTGCTCTTTATATGAATTCGTGCAGGAAATGCCGTTCATAGTGTATTTCAGTGCCAAACGTAAATGTCAGCATGCATTAAAATTCATTACTTACATGGGTCAAGACTTGTCACTTCGTTATAACATTTAATCGAGTTTTTGGATCTTTGCGGTTATTTTGTCCTTCAATACCCCAAGTTGACGCTTGCGTGCTTTGTACTTCCTAACTTAATTTGCGGGGAATCAGAAATATTACCAAGAGCGTTTCGAATTCATAATATGCCTTATATGAGTCAGGAATTCTTATATGAATCAAAGGAGAATATTTCTTTTCATCCAGTCTCTTGACGCGCTTTCCTCACCTCATTTGAAGTGGAGACCTTGATTGAAATACATTGTTAATGTATTTGAAATGTCAAGCAATCCCATAACGGACTTTTGTCAAACTAAGATGTCAGATATTGCCTTACATTAGTCAAGGCCATATTAAACTGTCATGCAACTAGATCTCGACAATCTAGGTCACTGCAAACGTGCCATTGTCGAGTCAGCCTGTGCTAAATGATGCCTTAGGCCCCCGTTGAAGCTGTTTTTTCAAGATGGTTACTCTCCTGTATAATTTTTTTTAAAAAACCCTTTCAGATACTTTGAATTAGTAACTAGATCGTTGCGTTACCAATTTCCAGCTTACGATGAAGTGTTGTTCTGTCTGAAGGAATGCAGCATGCGAATTCTCAGCATTATTGTAGAGTTTCGTGTCATAAGAGCTGTTTCTTTAAACGTGTCACGCGAAAAGTTGCTCCCAGGCTTGTCAATCCGTGACCAAATGAATACCAGAAAGAAATAACTGGTCATTGTTACAAAGAATCTTAATCAAATAAGCACAGTTCAAACATGGATTATGCTACCCTCAGATAGTTTATCCTGTAAGTCAGTTCCAGATTTTGTGTTATTACTGTGCCTCATGTCACGCAAGCATCTTCGCTTGACAGATTTTCTACTAAATCTTTGACGGAATTCACCATTTGGTGACCCAGATAAAACATTTCATCTTTGTTTGTTATTGCATCTTCTAACTTACAGTTCTCTTTCTAAAGTATTCTTCTCTTAAAATTTTTTTTGGATTGATAAACCAAATTTTCACGATTGCTCCATCTTAATTCGTTTTTATCTTTTCCTGTTTACTTTCCTTGTCTCCCATCAAGTTCAACCAACAATCATTGTTAATCACTAGTGATGTTTCTCTCTAGCTTAGATAGCCAGCATTCTACATCATCGCATCACAAACAGTAATCATTGCTACTCACAGCGCGCAATCACTAATCACATACAATTTAACTTAATGTCTGGGAAATTATTCGAGATGCCCTTAGTTTATCATGTCAGTCTTGAAGTAAAATATGAGGATTCTCTATTTGTTAGACAAATACATTGATTGCTCTGAACTTTTTGCAGTCACTAAATTCATTAAAGCCTTTTTCAGACGTGCTTATGGTAAAAGCTGTAAACACGTGAACGCCATTCCAGTGGTTTTTCAATGACAAAAAAAACGCTTGCATGGTATTGTTGAAAGTAAACATTATGTACCAGGTACAAATGTAGGGTCATGTTATCATTTCGTCAACTGCTAATATGCTGATAATAAACTGGTAAAGTTTTGTTAACGATGGATGTTGGTATGGCAAGATACAGCTGATGGGTGTGGACTGGAATAGTATTTTAGCAGGTCATTTCAACTATGAGTGGCACTTTTTCAACGTTTGTTAGTATGTTTTCTTTTCTTTGTCGCTACTTTGGGTGCTGTTTCTTGTTGGCATCTAAATCGGCAAACCTGCATGGTAATTCTGTTGCAAGCTACAACTTCTGAATATGAGTAGATCAGTGTGATATAGCACAGATTCCATTAGGCTTCCGTATGCGTTCTGTAATTTTGCAACTTATGCAATTGTTGCGAAATTAAACAGGGCGGAAAGGCGGATAGCACCGATTCATGGAAATGATTCGCTCATGGTATCCTACGAATCTTAAAAAGATAGAAATCTTGAAAGTTAAAGAGATACAAATCTTAGAAAAGAGTCGGAACTTTTGATGTTTGCTCGCCAGAGGGAAATTGAGGATTTGTGGTTGCATGTTGAAAAACTAAAACTCTTTAATCGGTTTACGCAGATCTACCATAACTCTTTTACAAACATTTTTTCATAGGCTAATGATATTTTATGTACGTGCCTTTGTTGTGATGCAACAGCTGACCGCTACTCTTACGCCTCTCCTTGCAACTTCAGTAGCGCTCTCCCTAACTCCCCATAAACTTCTGTTTAAAGCAGTCAGGGAGAGCCCCCTTTTGAGACCCTCTCTGAACGTAATCCTCGCATTCTCTGTTTCAAGGTACATGCAGCTTGAAAATCGTTCGCGTCACTGCGGCCACTTGTCTAATTTGTAATTGCTTCTTCACATTGTTATTACTGTCTTGTTGTAAGGGCAAATCCAATGAGCTAATTTCAAAACCAAAGCCTATGATGATCAAATCGGTAGACTGTCAAAGGACCAGAACGATAATCTCATCCCAGTGGAGTCGCCTACAATTAGAATATTGGCAGCCGCCTCTTTTCCGTACTCAATACCCCCTTTTCTTACTATTCTCTTCAAAGCCTCCTGGGTCTTTGGTTTGTTAGTCAACTGGTTACACCTTCTTTATGAATGCTTCTTTTAAAGCAGCTAATCCTAACTTTACCCGTTGACAACATTTGGGTAGCAGTAGATGATTGCCGGACTATGATGGTGATGACTGAAACACTTGTGCTCTATAACCTGTCGTTGCGGCGTTGCGTTGGTACTCAATTAATGACCAAAAGGTCAATTGCAGTTTTTCCCCCTTGGACACGTGCATAACGTTACTACTAACAATCGCTGCACACTCCCTGTTTTTAGTAAGGCTGTTTCCGTTGCTTCGATGCCTAGATACCATTTGATTATATTATGCAGAATAAGATGTTTATATGTTAACAAGACCTAAACCTGGCCGTTGCAATAAATGTTATTGCATCTGTATTGTTTTATATCCTATCGTATGGCTAAAAAATATTATTATTCATGCATTCACTGCATTTCTTTTTTGAAAGGCAAAATATCGTCGTCCTTGACTTTCCTCTTAATGAAAACTGTCAGTGGCATTCTTGAATCTGTCTACAATATGAGATTTAACAAAATGAGCGCCTTGTAACGGTACTTCACGTAGTCACAAATAGATATATAGTTGAAATAAGTCATCGTTTGGTCATAATTTGAGGTCCAAAAGCTGTCTCTTCAGCTCATCTGCACTCGTGGTAGAATCATCAGTCCAATGCTAAACGCATTCAAACAATTATGAAAGGGATTCTTTGTGTCTGCTCCAGGAATTAGCGGCAGCAACTTCTTTCAGAATCGTTCTAACTTCTATCAGAGTCGCTTGAAATTTATTTCAGATCTCCGACAGTAATCACTTTTTTATGAATGCTGGTTATGTTTCCTTCTTTCACGCGCTTTTTCCTTGTTGCAGTACTTGTTCTTTCTCGAAAGTTCCTACGTTATGACAGATCCAGCACTACTTAAAGGTGAACTGACACGCAAAATTAACTTGAGCTCAAATGAAAGCATATCGAGCATAAATATCCGATACATTATTATTTTTTTAATATTTAACACAGTTTTCGAGTTATTGAGCGTCAAAGTTAGCCACCGAACATTTTCCGAGCACGGACGAGTTCACCCGAGCCTTCCGCATAATCGTGACGTCACAAACACCATGTTCACATCACTTGAGCAACATGACAGTCTGGAAGGCCGTACTTTCATGACTTTGCGGAAGAGCATCGATACATTGATTGTGTAGATTTTGGCTCCATTTCGACAACCTGATTGGAAAACAGATTATGACTCCTTTACAAACCTTTCCTACTAAGGTTTGCAAGAATATCGTATTATTCAATGCGTTTGAGGCCTTTCCTCTGGCTTGCAGGACCCAGTGTGTGGCGGGCCAACTTATCGTATAATGGTAGCGATAAATATATTGACAGGATTTTTATTTTCTGGAAACCTAAGTAAAACACTTTTATTTTGTTAAGTACGTCTGCTGTTAGACTAATTTATCAGCACCCCCCACAGTTAATTTCGGTCTTTGATTCTGGCTATCTTCAAATACGCAGTAAAGATTTAGTAAATATTTCGAATTTAAGTCACTCATTTTCGTTTTTTTATTCAATCACATGACAATTTTTCAGGGGTTACGAACCTGGTAAGATCGAGTCGCTATTTGCAGGAAAACAACTTAGTAAAATTTTCAACTCCCAGGCCGCTGCACTCCTGTAACTCGGGTGAACCGATGAGTTTGCAAACCCAAAATGAAATAACGTTCATGATTTATGTGGATGTTGAAATAATCTATCGAAGTAATAATATATTGAATTTGTCCGTAAAAGAAGCTAGATTCATGATAAAATGATAAGATTCTTACATTCGTCCGCATGATTGACTTCAGAATTGAGAATTTCTTCGAGCAGCTAAAAGTGCCTATTCCTTCCAAACTTAAATTCCCTCCTAACATAACATAGTACCAGCCAACACATATCCATCGTATATTCAATCAGCCAATCAGCCTCGAATTTTCATGTATCTTGGATCAAAGGCTACGTAGATCTCATCGAATAGTAACTGAACAAGATGAACTGAACTGTCCAGTCGTGTGTGATTTCCATTGAAGGAATAAAAACATGGTGTTTGTGACGTCACACGTACTGGGTCACATGAAATGCCGACAATGGTCGAACACTCGACGATAATTTCATGACATTTAGAGCGGAATTGCGTCAAAACGGACAATTATAATTAACCGAAAATTTGAAATTAAGATTCCATGCATCGTTTTCTACATTATATCAAAAAATAGTTTTGCGTGTCAGTTCACCTTTAAGCAACCAAAGCGATACGCGCGAAGAATTGAACAAGGGCTCAGTTTTTTTGGTGACGTTTTTAGCAGTGTTTTGTCTGTACTCCTCTGTACCTTAAAAATCATAAACTGACGGTTGGTTAAAAGAATGAGAATAGCATCATCACACAAGACGAACGCATTCTATGCCCGCTGGTTTCTCCTAATTGTACATCTTTTGCTTGAGTTGCAGTCAATGAGGAAGCTGGCTCTAAACGAGGCTTACAATGTTTATAAGAAAATTTTCACAGTTTTCTGCTGGTTTTGCTCTCTGTAGACAGGGCTTAGTGTTCAATGCTGAGGTGATTTGCAAACTATTAAACACGATACATGAGAATCTACTTTATCTCACAAAAGGAAATCCCTATATTCCTTTCCCAAAAATCGTAGACTTTACTTAATACACCTGTAATCTAATGAGCTACATTATCAGCTGCAATTAGGTGAATCATTGGGTAGAACATGCGCGACGGCCTCTCATTATCTTAGCTGTGCGAACTCATAACAGAGAAACTTAAGCACATGTATAAAGGGTGTTACTATGGCTTCTAGAAGCTGCTTGCAGCTCAGTGCCTCCCTGCCTTTTAGGACGGCACCCCTGCACGGGCCCACAGCATGATGGCAACTACAGATATTCTGTGGTTAAATTTTAGAATCAATGAGAGTTTTCTGTCCTATGCTTTTTTCTCGATATTCTTGTTTCTCTACAACAAGGAAGCTATTAAAAATTATAGTCTCTATTGACAGATTAAGTATACATTTTTCTTTTGTAACAATTTTAGATCAGAAAAAATCTTATGGCTCTCCCCGCTTTCCGATGATGATCTTTTCGGAATCTTTCAGGAGTCTGTTTTTTGACAGAATTTTTAGAACTCCGAAGACCAGGAAATAGGAATGTCGAGTTTCCTTTCAGTTTTGAAGTCAAAGCTTTCGTCCTTGAAGTGCAAAAATCTCCTATCCTTTTTCATTTGTCTTTTAAATCCGTTGGAAAACCAAGCAGTATCCCTGGAAAGCTTCGATGATCCCATTGCTTATGCGAAAGATGTGTTTTGGATTAGTCAACTTAATATTCTCTGCTTGCCTCTTTTTGCAGAATCTTGCTAAACCGCATGACTTATCTGCAGCCACCGCATTCTGCATTCCAAATGCGAATTGATGGAATTTAAGACGGTGGAACTTTATTCCACATAGTGGTTTGTTAGATCATAAATTGATGGATATCACACAGGCCGACAAAAATGCTTGAACTACCTCGTATAGTATTTCTTTTTCATTCTCAATTTCTCTGCTTTATCGTCTTCTCCTCACCCCGTCACCCCTATGCCCCCCCCCCCTTTAACTGTATGCCTTACCGATTTCTCGCTTTCCCAGTTCTACCGTCATCATCATCATCATCAACTTTCATCATTAACATCTATCGTTAATCATTAATCAATAATCGTTAATCAATAATCGTTAATCATCTATCATCATTAGCTACTGGTTATAATGATGTGAAGATAAACAAAAAATCCGAGCCAATCATCCGCTAGATTTTTCATTCCACGGAAGACATCATTATTCACCTTTAAATGCAATAATCCCGCGGTGTTTAGTCTTATTCCTTATGCGTTCATTTCCAAACTTGGAGCCTATCAATCAACCCGCCTGTTTCCTTCAGCTTTTGCCTTTAAATCTCCTGACGTTCTGGCTGGTTTTTAAGAAGGTGCAAAAATCTGGAAATATTGAGACAGCAGTCGGCTCTCTGCCTCCTTTTCAATCATTGACATAAATGTAACAAGGAGTATATTATTGACCACAGTTAGAGCCGCGCGGCAGAAGTGATTCATTCTTGGCTGAGTAAGGACAAGCACAAAAGACATGTCCTTGCGGTTTCATTGAAACAAGATTAATTGTTTGAGAGAGCACGGTTGAGGGACTGTCGTGTTTGTTACGTGACTTTAGAAAATCTGCTCACCAGGGTGACCTACGATCAGAATACCGTTACTAAGTAGATGGTACCGGTCGATGTTTATGTATGCTGGCGACTGTATGAAGTAACTGCTCATCCTGTTGTCAACATTCGTAACATGCTGCATGAGATATGAGGGTTGTGAGCAAGAAAAGCGATAAATCGGCGCTAAAGAATAATTCTGAATCCACATCGTCCCGTGCAATGTGGAAGTTCATGCTGAAAAGTATAAGTTACGGGACATCAGATCGTAAGATTTATGATTCTTCTTCCAGCTTTTTTGGCCTTCCTCTTGGACAAGTTTCAGCGGATGAAGAACAGCTACCAACACCAGTGCAAGTACGTCGATTTTTGTGTCTCTTTTTTTAACTAGCCTATTCTGCGAACTTTTGTATCAATCATTTCTTAAATATTCGATATTTTCCTCATTTTTCGTTTATGATTTAAAAAGATCTCTTAAGGTTATCAAAATCGCACAGAATTTCCCATGTATTTCAAAAGAAAAGCTTTCGTGTCTTTCATGAGAGATTTTGTCCCACTTTTTCATCCCGCCCTTGCTATCAACATGGCTGATGTTTTGTTATTGTTCTTTGGTTTGAATATATATACAAATAGGAGAAACTTGAACCAACATATTTAACGTCGCTTAGGTGTGTTAAGTCTTGTACTGCATTCAACATGTTTGAAACACAAACCTACATAAGAAGTTGATCTTTCTTGCTTTGCCGCCTCGATACATGTATATATGGGAGTGCTTTTTATTGAGCATATATTTAGTTTTGAATGGTTTGGACCTAGGTGATAGGTGATCTTCGTTCAGAGCTACTAGTTTATGAGTAGCATTTCCTTTCTTTTGGGTCTGTCTCTTCTGCCAAAATCCCTCAGTTCAATAATCTGGCTGTCTTACATAAAGTAAATGAAAATGAAATTGTGAATACTCTGTGTTGATTACGGTACAGCTACTTTCGTTGAGACATCATAGATCGCTTCCAGGTTTGCGTCCTGTCGTGATTGTATGTGGTTTCTCGTGAACGCAGCGTTTAGTTTAGCGCAACTCTAAAACCATTTCTCAATGCAACGCGGTCAGACATTATGTATTTATTTTGGGAAGAATTTTCTGTCATGTAGATGTCCCCATGAATCATAAGATTAGGCTTGATTGCAGAAAAGATCGTCGTGTCTTGCTAATACAGGCTTTTCTGTCTTTCAACGATGTTATACTTACCAAAACATTTTTTGCATATGTTCCATACAACGTCTAAGTTCGTTATTCTGTAATAAAAGTCACTATCCGCCATACATTTCGTCGCTGATATATAATACAGGGGTTTTCAAATCTCACATAACCTTGCCGGTCCTTGGTTCCCGTTAAGCCAAACTTTATCCCCTTTGGTTCTGTTTTTGGTCTAATGCCCCAGCACGTTAGTGGTGTCCGACTTTGCAGATTGCCGCAACGGAGCAATTGCGTTATTTTCCCTTTATTTTGCCTGTGTGGCGGTCATTAAATTTCGACTCACTTCAAGGACCCCATGGAAAAATGACAATTCTTGATTTTGAGTTGCCTAGAGGGGTCATAACTTTTTGAGTACGGTAACCCCCCTCTCAAACATGGTTTTGCCTAGATGTAGATAAGACCTACATCCCATTTAAGTCTTAATTGTCATGAAGATCATCTCTTACACAGATGTTAGCTTCGGACTCGCGCGTTGCTTTTCAGCACAGTTAACCGCGAAACACTACTCCAAAGAGCCAGCTACAATAACGTGTGATCTTTATTTCGCTTTTCTCATCAAGTGGTTTGACTACTCCGCAAAGAACTAAGAGACATCTGTACACCAGCACCATAAACAACACGTGTGGCCTATCGTTAAGTTATACACATGTACAGTATCTGTTTATGTCCTACCTTTGATGCAAACATAGTATTTGCTTTCAATGGGATTTCTCCATTTTAATAGACGTTAGTTTTAATTGTTCTGTCGATTCGCTTGCAACTGAAGTTTTATAAGAAGGACATGAAATTAGTCGTGGCTTGGAGAGTCGAAGTTCTATTCCTAAACAAATGGAGGATAATTAAAAGAAGTGAAAGATAAAGTTTTCTACGTCGTTTAGCCTGCTTCTTTTATCTTCTACGCATCATTCTACCCCTTTTTGCTCAGTTCTTTTTTTTATTTCACATTTCATGTTAAAATGTGGTTATTGTGCAGGTTTCGCTATAAGCCTTTTTTCTAAAAAGGATTGCATGTTTGTATTGATAATTGTTGATCGCGGAGCAAGGATAAACTTCGAAGTGAGAACTAAGTTTACTATAAAAATGTTTGAAGGAATAAGTAAAAAAAAAGATTGTAAACCATCGATTGTTTTCATAAATTCAGTTATAAAGGTTATTAAACAGCTCAGACTGAAGGGTTTGATAATTACGATGGCTTAATTGAGCTTATGCACATCTTTTGACTTAACCTTGCAATAGACAGAAAATAGATGGACCCCCATCTTGATCGTTCCACAGGCGTTGAGGCGGATAAAGAGAGATTTTTACAAGAAAATCGCTTTATAATAATTAATTTCCACATTCCAGGAATTTGTGGTTTTAAAGAAAAGACGATCAACTTAAGGCTGATCACTCTCTCAACAGTTACTTAACAAATAAAATAACAACCAGTGGATTATGTTTTTATTAAAAAGAACTTCTTAAGATTAACGTATTCCAGTCATCGGATCTATAAGTTTACTGAAATCGTACAGACTTCCAGTTACTAATTACTATAAAAGCATTTTGGAATATAAATGAAGGAATATAGCAAAATAGTCAACACAAAGTCCTACAGGGACTGTGCTGTTTGAGCAAGAGAGCGGTCTTGGAAAGTAAAATAAGTTAAAAATAGGGATAACGTGATTTTATCTTCTTGAAGTTTGTCCTCATCCGTTTATGACCTTGATATTTGAACGCCATCACTTTTTATTTAAAAGAAATGACGAGCATTGATTTGATTCCATGATATCATTTAAATTTACATTGTGATTATCTTTACATGGAAATTGTACTCGGGCGTAAAGTCAGTTGTCCGATGTTTTACCCGCGAAGGAAGCTTGAGGTCGAGCTCCTAATCGCATTTCTCCCGTCTTTGCAAAACATCACAATGCAATTTTTATTCGAATGTTGTCCAAATTATTATATCTCGTGTCTACTTGGAAATACGACATGTTGGATCCCATTTCCTGAACCAAGATTAATAAAAGTCAGGCTAAACTCTAGCAATTTTACCCTTCGGTGGATGTGTTTGCTTTTGTAATCCCTTTTCGTCTCGCAAAGGCAGTTCGACGTGGAACAGTTTGTACAGCCGATTAATTTAGGTGACACCTGTTTCAACTACAAATATCCTACCAATGGAAACATTTACTTTTCTTGATTAGCTGCCGCCATACTTTGTCCACGGCTAGATTATGTTTTAGTCTGAATCACTATCTAACAAGTTTCAATGGGGATAGGTTGTTTGAAGACATGTTTGATTGTTCTGTAATTAAGTGAGATATGCTGAAACTGGAATTTCTCGTAACATAAACTGTTTCGGGTCTTGTTTATTGGCCGTTGTTCCAAAAGACAGAAACATACTTCAAGAGTCACCATAATAAAAAGGCAGTCTTCTCACTGTTCCAAAATGCTATGACTAAATTAAAACAGCAGGTTTTGCAGTTTTCTCTGTCCTCAATTCAAGTAAAAAACACACTCTGCCGCTTTAGCTGAACATTGTTATTGTTTTAGTTATATGAATCTTTTGCTACCTAGAGCAGAAATGTACCAAAAGTTGAAAATTAGGCATAATTATTGGTAGACAGCCCGTTTCATCAAACACTTGATCTCGCTTCAATCCACCCGTTAACCTACTGATTAGGAAATCCAGGATTTAGGATGTTATTTTTGGCTTAATGAAAAGTAATGAAATTTTTGGTCCAAATCTAGGTTTCGGATTATGATCAACCGGCGTTGATTTGGCATTGCTGGTCTTGATTCAAAGACATGTTACGTCAGAAAAAGATTAACATACAAGATAGCGAAAGAATCTTGTTCTTCACCATTCCATAGCTGGTAAAAGAGAACAAATCTGTTTTGCGAACTAATTTTTTAAGCAGGAAGTTTTGCTAAGAAAAAACAGTTCTAATTTGCCGAATTGGTACAGCCGACGTCCGATCGCTTCTTTGTTGTAAGAGCCATCACACTTCTAAAGGCATTTTAAAACTGCGTTGATTCTCGTAAGCGGGGAAAATGTAAATCTCTCTTGTGCTGTCACTGAATGTTTTTGCTTATCAATGTGGTTGTGCTAGTAAATTGCTACATCTCTTCTTAGTCCTTCAATGGAAGAATATCCAATGATTCGGGAAAACTGAAATCCCAGGCTAGAGTTAAAAGAGGAAGAAAACCAAACTTTGCGTCCAGTTTATCTCTCTCGTTTGCGTTGATTTCTAAAAAAAAAATTTTCTGCCACATCAAACACTTTGGCTGAATCGTATACCACAGTTGTTTCGTGAGGCATTTGTAGATTTTTCACTGGTTACATACAGCGAGGGTGATCCCTCGTTTTTAAAAGGTTCCTCCCTCGGGTAAAAGGAAATGGCGGTTTTCGTGATACGGCTTTGACTGATAGTTTGGTTGTTTACCTGCAACAACTTGCTTGCGAATTAATAGAATTATTGACGCATTTAGCAACTGTACTCTGTGACCCTAATTTTAGTGGTTGATTTTATGAAATCATCTAACAAGCTTGAGTGTCTCATGCTGGAAAATCAACCGCATATTAAATTGCATTCTTCGTATAAGGTGGAAACGGGAAGCACCTTTGCTTGTCATATTGAGTGCAAAATTTCCGTAGTGGCGAAGCTGTTCCTAGCCGAATTTTGTTTAAGCCTTTTTCCCATTTTTGATGGTAGCCGATTTATAAACCTTTGTTGGGGTATCTTTGTTTAACGAGCTTAGGCTGTATTCTTGATTAATTGATCATTGTTAGAGAAACCTGCGCACGAATCCCCGTTGTAGAATTACAGCTGATTGACAATATGCCATCAAAAATGAACAGATCTACCAACTAATTTAAGAAAACGAGCCTTCAAATTGTTAACACGATACTTGAATATAATGAAAGATCTTTTCATCCTCCTGAGAGACGCTTTTCATTAAAATTTCTTCTCATGACCTTTGGTTGAACAAGTGCAACCTTGCCCGTTTTTATCGATCTATCTTGAACAACATTTGTTTGAGAACGCTCTTTCTGGCTTTGTTTTCTGTTATTAACATGAAACAATCAAGATATTATTGCCAACGTCCACACAGGCCTCGTATCTCAAGTCTTTTATCCCATATCTCAAAACAACCATATCGTTAATATTATTAATTCTGCCTTTTTTCCTGAATGGCTTTGTATTTTCCATTAGTTTGCTCCAACATATTTGGCCGAGGCAGATCCAAAAACTAAGCTTGACGAAAACGTTAAAATGTGCAACTTTCTATCGAAATATCGCTCGGTGACCCCTGAGAAATAGACCCCCCCCCAGCTACCCTTTAACTACACGTACTATAGTTTTGGGCTGCATATTGCTAACTATAGATTCGGGTTACTTTAAGCTTCTACTAAAGTTATAGCTACAAGTTTTACCTGAGACAAAGTTATGTAAGTTCGTTGTGTTTCTGTTTTTTAAAGTCATCTTGTTACAAAGTTAACATCTTCAGCTCTTAAGTCTGTTTTGTAAGCCAAAACTCCATTCGTTTTAGGACATGTTAACTGAGCTTTTTCGACGTGGACCTTCAACGGTTGGGATTTTCAGAAAGTCTGCTTTGATGAAGAGCGTCAAACAGCTGCGTCAAGAATTAGACGAAGGTAAGCACTAGCATACACTTTTCTAAAGCAAGATCTTGGCCATTGGGTGAGGATTGACCCTTCCTTTGACCTCAAGCATTGAGCACTTTATATGAAGGCCGAATGGCATCGACATTGTCTTCGACGTTTGACACAAAGCAGTGACCTTTTTAGCTGAAAGGACGAATCTTATGCCTTCGGTATTGCTCACTACTAGACTCTAAGCCTATAAAACAACAGAACTAGGTTTTAAAAAATTTATCTGCAGTCTGTTGTTGGTTTTTTATTTGAAATTTTATCTCTCTTATTGCAGGGAAAATAGTGAATTTTGAAGAGAAAAGTGCAGTGGTTATTGCAACAGTGTTGAAGGTAGAATCTTGTAACTTTGTTGAGCGCTTTGAAATCATAGGTTTTTACAGTCGATTCTAAAAGAAATTCTAGGTGACGTAGACAGCTAAAGAGGCAAATATTATTTAAGTTCAATACAAGTGCTAACCATAACTAACAGGTTCCAATTTTGACACTTACAAACTGTATATTTTTATTTTGGAGAAGTGTGTGCCAAGCGCAACAGGGGATTTTTGTAGAGTATACTGAGTCAATCTTTCTTTTGCGTAAGTCTTGTTTCGGCGTGCAATATGAACCGTTCTTGGCTGCCCCCTGTATTCTGGCACTTTGTTATCAAGCCTATATATGAAACAGTAAATTATTACAGCCAAGATGTGGCAATTTTTTAATATTTTCACTCTTTCAGGAATTTCTTCGTGGCCTTCCCGCCTGTGCTTTTGGCAGTGAATTTCTGAACGAAATGTTGGAAACCAATGACATTACTGATCCGAATGAGAGGGCTGCAGAAATAGACAAGTAAGCCAAGATATTTTCTATTCAAGAAATAAAAGACGTGCGTTTTTTGTAATAGTCTGTCACAAATCCTACCAGGAAATAGAAAATCATGATCTCGTTAACTAGCAAAATTATTCGTTATTTTGAATCAAAGAAGCCAAGTTCCAAAATCTTCCGACATTTTTTTTGTCTTACACAGCTTAGCACTCTGGTCCTTATTAATCCCAGCCACGGTGTTGCTGCCTCGTTCATCTCTTAAACCCTGTTATGTTTGTGGAAGTACTAAAGACATCTCACTGCCGTTGATATGTTTATAATAGGCAGTTGATGAATTCAATGCACATGGTCGTTTAAAGGAGGGGTGGGGGTGTATGCCATTCAATAGAACACATTCAAGTTTAATCGATCACCTTAGGCCCCCTTATAAATGAAGAAGATTACAAAATTCTCTCAAGGCTGTCAAACTGATATTTTATTGCAGAATATTTTTATCTGTTACTAAAATGCTCTTACGCGCTAGAAAATAATGATTATTTTTTCATATAGAAATTTGAACAAGTTGCCGAAATTGAACCAAATACTGATCAAGAAGTTTTTCTGCGTTCTTTACCACATCGCTCGACTTTCGGAAACAAACAAGATGACCGCGCAAAACCTGGCAATATGCATCGCACCGAGTCTTGTTTGGTCGAGTAAGACTCTAGTGCCATCTAGCCCAAAGGAGACAACATCGGCCTGTGAGCTCGTTCAGTTTATAATTGATAATTACACTTTCATTTTTGGTGAAGATGCCACTACCATTCTCGGGGATATATCGGAAATCCAAGCTCCGATCGTGTACGATGACGAAGAGATGCCCGAACAGAACTCAGATACACCTGATGCAGCGCAATCTAGTCCAACCCAGGAAGAACTTAGTTCGAGAAAGACCGGATTCTCTTTATCCTTGCGTGTCCCTGATTCGACTGCCAATCCGGATTTTAGTCCGACTTCTCCAGAAATTGACCGGAAGTCGAACACTGTCCAACATTTTCAGAATGGTGGCCGTCTAATATTTAATCTCAAGAAAGAAAATCGTCGACATTCAGAAAATGATCTAACGGACTTAAACGACAACTTCCCAGTTCGGAAATTGAGGGCGAAAGTTCCTCTCTCTTCTTATACAGCCACAGCCGAACTAATCAAGCATCGAACTACAAGCGAAGACGATAGTAACGAAACTTCTCCAACAGTTATTAAAATTGTCAGCACTACTAACGAAAACTCGCCGCCCGTAAATGGACGTAGGAAAAACTCGCCTTCGAATCATGCAATTTATCATCAAAAAGTCCGTCCGACGCCAACATACGAAGAGGCGATAAGACAGCTGCGAAGAAATGCTCAGTTCTCTCCAACATTTACTCGAAAATACGACTGGAATGTCGAAAGTTCGAACGAAAGCATTGATCAGACACCGAACGAAAAGAGACACGACGCTCCAAAAGTTCCGAAAAATGAAACCGGCCCTTCGCAAGTTGATGTTTCCCTTTCTTTTGCGGTAAACGAAAAGCAGGAGAATGATGCAACCTTGAAAGGAAAAACCGTCGATCCTAAGCGAAAACTTGAAACGCAGAAATTTGCTTACCGCTTAGGATCTCCTTCGTCAGACAGACTGAAAACATCAAGATATACAGCGGAAGATTTTCGTCGTAAATCTCCCAATGAGATTTTTGTTAGTCCGGGACATTTGCGCAGCCCTGTTTCGCCATCATCTTACGAAGAACATTTGCAACGCCGTAAAAGATTCGAGAAAGCTTATTTACAGAAGATCAACCTGAACCTGAACGATGGAGATTTTGAAAAAACTTCAAAGGGCGTAAACGTCAATTCAGAATTTACGAAAAAGGGGGCAGATTTCACGCATTCGTACAACGGAGGGGGAAAACAGAAGACCTCACAAACAGCGAGCAGAATTCTGTCAAAAAGTCTTGATTCTAAAGGCCTTAGAGCACTGAAAGTCAGGCCGGATAATGAAAATTGCGATAGTATACCATTGAGTAACGGTGTACATACATTTGTCACGCAAAGAAAGAGTCTTAATACTAACGGGACATCTGCTATTACGATATCACCCAAAAGCGAACATTCAAATGGAGTAAAAGGAACACCGAGCCTGGACCGACATTCGCCATCCTTACGCGCTGCAATCGAGGCTGGGACTTTTATGTACCGAAAAAACGATGCAACGAAGGGTCCTAGATTTGACATTAACGAACCAATTGAAAGGAACAACAACCAGCTTCAAACAGATTGTTTTGTTGAGCGCCCACGAAAACTTAGCGATAGAACGGCTGAAAATTTTGATCAAATATTAGCTGGACTGAAGGATCTTGATGACGTAAGCAGCAGCAGCTCTAGTTCAACTGACATTGTATCGGAAGTAGACGTACCCTCGCATGAAGATATTAAAAATATTTTATGTCAAGATGAATCTTATGTCTAGTAATTATTACGCATGTTGAGTTGGGTTTTCAATTTGAATCATCCAAAAAGAACTGGCCATATCGTTTTGTCATTGGTTATTCGTCATGATAAGAATAGGGAGGGGTAACACTTATAGAAATAGGTGTAACATGTACTTACAAGTAAATAATAGAAAACTTCCACTACTCGCGTTAGCAGTTCTGTTTCACAAATCCAGAGAAGACCTTTCCGTTTTCATAAGCTGATTTGAACAGTGAAAGTTGAAATATATTTCGCCCATGAGCTTAACATCTACAAATGTTTGAACACAGACAATTTGTCCTATTTTGTTCGCCTTTGAAGCTTTCAGATTTTGCAAGCTATGGTCGATCTTTATTGCAAATCCATATTTGATTGTGTTTTTTCAAATTCGATCGATTTCTTGGAAGTAGCCCCAAGTTGAAATACCAATTATGGGAGGCAAGTTTAATCTAGAACCGTCAGAGTTTTATGACTGAATTAACTTTTGTGTTATTAATGTACATAAAGAGATGAGATATACAGGAATTATTATCGAACTGAGGAGTTAGGACGCCTTACAGCTTATATTGATCATAACATCCAAGATTTTTTAATCCGTTTATACCATCTTCCATTATATTGCAACCGGTGTTATTTGGTTGGGTTTTTATCATAGTATGCAGTTCCCGAAAAGTATAAATCCGTATTCAACTATTGTCATATTCGAAACATTTAGTTAAATTGTATGCATCTGTTTAACTATTACATACAATTTGTTAAGCAAACCCCTCTTCCTGACTCCCTCTTCCTAACTCCCTCCTTCCGACCTTCTCCTACCGACCTTCTCCTCCCGAACTTTTCAACCCGATAAAACATGAAGCAGTTAAACATTTACCAGCAAAACCCGACCAAAGACATTCGGTGCCTATCAGCGCCCTAGGAAGATTGAAACTTGTAAACTTCGTACAAAAGCAGGCATTGTATCTTTGTTGATAGCATGAATATTTTAATTAAATATTGAGTCTGTTTCAATTTTTCGATTTCTCTTTGCTCCATGTTTTTTAGTTCTCAATAGTGAGTAGGAAGCCTCTGAACTAGAATTGATGAAATGTTTCCAAATGCAAAGTGACCTTGTAACAAAATGGCAAAAAATTCGAAATCACGGCCGTTACGCACAATCGTCTCCAGCTTCCCTTGTACCCTCGACGAAAAGAAATATTGGTAGATATTATTTTTTACTTTGACCTTTGAATGGTTCTGAAACAATGATATTCTAGAATGACTTAAATGTTTCTAGGAAATGATTGAAATATTCGCGAACGAGAATTTTTAAACTTTTTGTCTTAATGATAAATCACTACAATTTCCTTTCTTCGATATCTTTGTAATGCTGAAGGTTCCAGGACTTTGGAGGCAGGGACGCGATGTCCATGGAGTGAAAAGTTCATTGTAAATAGTGCCATTTTAGAGACAAGATATGTTTTGAGTAGTTGGATATAAATTTTCTTGATTGGTGTTTGTCGAATTGTCCCCAACCCTGGTACATGGTAATAACAGGCAAGGAAAACCATGTCGCCTGCAAGTTTGGTTGCCATGTAAATTTTAGTCATTAGACCCTGTAATGAAATTGATAACTTGCTGAGTAAAAATGTTGTATTAATTTTCATGACAATAATGCCATTTGGAAAACCTACAATATAGAATAATTTAGTTGCAGAATATAATCCCCTTGTGCTCGTGTCTTGCTTGTTATTGCTTTTATTTTATCGATCATCATTCACCAGCAGAGAAAATTCATCCAGTTAAACGCATGTTGCCCGAAGAAAGTACTAGAAATGTTTCTGCCTGTCTTAGAGTGATCTAGAGAAGTGGTTCTCAAAAGTTGTATCTTGACGAAAAGTAGCCCTGTCATTACTATTTTGCGTAAATTTTGCCAATTTTTCTATGAATATGTCTCCATTTCAAATGCATCAATAGAAAGGCGAACGTTCAAAGACGAACGAGACTATCATTTTTGTCCCTTGATAAACACTGCGGTGGAGCATTACTTTATTCCCGCTAGATTATCACGTCAGCAAAATAACCTTCGGCCTAAGGCCACATGTCGAAAGACACCGTCGTATGCAAAGTTTTTAACTGTCTCAGCTTTTACAAATAAGCTGGTGCTATGCTGGCACATAAAGTCTTGCTAACCGATACTATTTCTTGAACTGACAACTGAAGAGGCTACCGCATATGGGACGAAGAATGGGAATCACAATAAAGATAGGGGGCACAGTGATGTGAGAAAAGCTAGCGTGGTAAGTTTTTTGAAAAATTTAATTGTTAGATTTCAGTCTAATCCTTACATTTTTCGCATCTGCTTTGAAAAACAAGCAGTGTGAAATACATTGAAAGTGCAGATATTCTGGATTCTGTTGGCACAGCTATTAAGTATTAGTCAATGGAAAATTACAATGAAATGACCCATATGAAATAGAAAGACGTTTGAAATAGAAAATCGTTTGGCCATTTCACAGAATTTCTTCAAATGGATCGCAGATTAGGATTTAGCATCTGAATTCTTTTTCTTGTCATAAGTTGATTGATGATAGCGTTGGAGGTATAAATCTCATGACAATATAAAGTTTGCAAGGTTTTAAGGGGCTCTACCGCAAAAATCATTCTAGGATGTTATTTCCCACTGTTCGGTCAAATTCGTTATAGAAACCCGAATTTTTTCCAAATGTAATAATTTGTAGTTGTATGTATTTTTGATGCCAAATCCGAATCTTGGGTTAATGAGCATCTCAAATTGAGCAACAAGATATTGACTTGTTTTCAACACGAGGCTGCAGAATTGGAAAAGTGACGTATCGAAGATAGACCTGGGCTGGTACACTGTTCTTTCGAAACTCAGCCAACAATTTATTAGCTAAGGTATACAAGGCTGGCTTTCTCGTTAAACTCTGCCTAACTTGACTGTCTGTATTATTTCATATTTAAATTCAATAATTGTTGGAGGTCCCAGGGAGGGGGGTAACTTCAATAGGCCAAGGACGGGGGTGTACCATTTTGAAATAGAAAAAAACCTTTCCTACAATTTATAAATTTTCCAAAAATCATACCCCAAAATTTTGAAGCAACATGAAACGCATACCTTTAAATTTAATTCAAATTTGCAAAAATGATTGAAATATTCGGAAAATGTGTCGCTGAAAGCTTTAGCCTATCGAGAACTTTACAACCGCAATAAAATTCTAAATCTCATTGCAAAAGTTGCAACCAAACAACATAGTTTAATGTTACATATAACCTACTCGTTAAGAATTTTCTCGATTGACATTAACTTGGAAAAAATACTCGGTAAGTTACTAAGAATTGATTTACTTTTGTTCATGGCGCATCAGAAAAATCTCGCTGCACATGCTGATGATTTAAAAACTTTGGTTTATGTCATAAATATTTTCAATAAAAAACAAAATTTACAATATTATTTATTCAAGATAAAATCATGCAAACTTTAATGTTTATATGAAAATACGTCGATTTTCTAAGTTTTTTACCATTAATTGATAGATCTAGTTCTACACTTAATGATAAATATGTCTAGAATTAATCAAAGAGTTTCACTGAAATATAACTGAGATTTGGAGATCTGCTGTTATAAGAAATTTGCAATAAAGCCTTTTAAGAATAAATAATCGCTGGGTAAAAACTTGTCTAGTGTTAATTGTAAAGGAAAATTCCTCCCCTGGTGGTGATAAAGAAAAAGACGAGATAATGGCTTTTCAGTGCTTGTCTTCTGCAAAATCCTTTATGGATTCAAAATTAAACTTTACAAAATCAGAACCATACCAAATGTTTCCTCTTCATACAAAAAACGTTATATTAAAAGCAATAGGTATGGCATGCCCCTGGCCCTGAATAAACAAATGAAAATGCTCTGAGGGAAGGCAAAGTTAACGCTGACGGATAAACTAAAGGTGGGGACTTAAAACGAAGATGCCAGAGTTGGAACATGCAGAGAACAGAAAGAAGTGGATACCCAGATCTGAATTTCTACTGCCCTATAGGTTAAACGTCTGGACACTGTCCAGAAATACAAAATCAGAATTTATGGACAAGCCTAATTTTATTTTGACACACTGATGTCACTTAAGAACTTCAGCGTAAGAAATCAGCGTAAGAAATCAGACCGAAAAAAGAAGACACAGGGTACTTTTGATGCTTAGCTGAGTTTTGTGGTGTATCAAGTCTAACATGATGACGTCAGTTATGATAAAGATCACTTCGTTGATCAAAATCTTCAAACTGTTAAAATTGCATAGGCTAAGCAAAGACTTGATTAAATAGTTATTCCGTAGATTTTATAATGAAGCAAAAAAACAACTGAGCTGTTAGCTTCAAAAACATCACCTTAGGAAAATGAAATGAATGCTAATTTGTGTCATAAAGTGAACCTTCATTATTATTATTATTATGAGTAATATGCTGAACCTTGCTTTGGTTGCCCTGTGCAACAATTGTTT